AGAAATGATGCAACAGATTTCGGCCATGCTAAACTCAAATGAAAATTTTCAATTAGACGATAGTTTCTCTGTCAACATTTCTCACATTCGCAGTCCCGGAAACGGTGGTACAGGAAAAAGAATTCGAAAAGGACAATTGGCTATCGAAAAGATGTTAGATCTCAAGAGAAGTGTGGTGAAGATTAACAACCAAGACGAATTGTGTTGTGCCAGAGCCATAGTCACCATGATGTCACACGCTGACCTCGGAACAAAGCATCCCGATTACGTCAATCTCAGAAAAGGTCTCCCAATTCAAGAAAAAAAAGCCAGGGCCCTACACGAAGCTGCAAAAGTCCCGATAGCGAGCTGTGGCATACCCGAAATCATGAAGTTCCAAGAGGTTTTACCCGATCACAGATTGGTCGTACTCTCCGTCGATCAAAATTACAGGATCATTTACAAGGGTCCCTACCAACCTCATCGAAAAGACATCATTCTCATCAAAGTAGGAGAACATTATCACGCATGTACCTCCCTGAAAGCTTTCATGGGAAGAAATCATTTCTGTTTGATATGCGAGAAAGGCTACGATCACGACGACATGAAATCCCACAGGTGCAATGGAAGAAAATGTGGATCCTGTTTTCAAATCGAGTGTGAAGACTATCACAAAGTTCAAAAGGGAGAGCGGGCCACCTACAAGTGTGGAAGATGTCAACGAAAATTCTTTGGAACTCATTGCCTGAGTAACCACACCAAATTCAGTGAAGAAAACGGAAAAGAAGCAAACGAAACACGCAAAAGTGTCTGTAGCAGCAAAAGAAAATGCAACAAGTGCATGCGAATGCTTCGTCCCCCTGAAACCACATCAAACCATGTCTGTGGAACCAATGAATGCCCCTCTTGTAAAGAGTACAAGAACCTGGACCATCATCAATGCTTCATTCAAAATCCCACCAAGCTAGAAGAAAAAATGAAGAAACTCAAGAAGACTCGTCTAAAGAGAAAAAGCGATGGTTCAAGATCGATTGAAGAAAGACCTCACATATTTGTCTACTGGGACAGTGAAACCATGCAAGACACGGGTGTTCACATTCCCAATTTAGTGTGTGCTGCCACTTCCAACACCGAAGAGTTGTTCAATTTCGAAGGGGAAACCTGCATCGCTGACTTCATCGATTGGTTGAGAGAACTGTCCTTGGACTGTAGACTAACGGTCATTGCTCACAATTCTCAAGGCTTCGATGCTTACCTCGTACTTGACGAATTATTCAAACAGTACGTTGGAGTAGATCAAATAGTCAATGGAGCCAAGATAATTTCTTTGAGTTTCAATGGTGGTGACATTGAATTAAAAGACTCGCTCTGTTTCTTTCAAATGCCTCTTGCCTCTTTTCCAAAAGCCTTTGGACTGAAAGAGAAGAAGAAAGGTTTCTTCCCCCACTTCTTCAACACCCCAGAAAACCAAGAGTACGTGGGTCCATTGCCAGACAAAAAGTATTACGATCCGAAAGGAATGTCTCCAAACAGAGCCAAAGAGTTTAATCAATGGTACGAAAACCTCTCCAAGGATCCAAATTACCAATTCAACTTTCAAGAAGAACTGTTGAACTATTGTCAATCTGACCTACTACTACTGAAGGGTGGATGTGAAGTCTTTTGTCAAGAATTTGAAGAAATCAGTGGTTTCAACCCTCTTGAGAGATGTCTGACCATTGCTTCGGCGTGTAATCTTTACTATTGAAAGACTCACATGCAAGAGAGAACCATTGCCTCAGAACCGATAAGCGGATGGCACAGACAAGGCAAACCTCACTCCAAGGTTAGTATCAAGTGGTTGACCTGGCTCAACACAAAGCCCCATCACAACATACAACATGGAAGAAACGGTGGTGAACATGTCATTAAAGACGGTCCTCATAAATACTACGTGGATGGCTACGATCCCATCACCAATGTCGTGTACGAATTTAATGGTTGTTATTGGCATGGTTGTCCAAAATGCTACCCTAACCGAGACGAAGAAAGAGAAAAGATGGGAGAAAGAACAATGGATGATGNCAAAAAGTATTACGATCCAAAAGGAATGTCTCCAAACAGAGCCAAAGAGTTTAATCAATGGTACGAAAACCTCTCCAAGGATCCAAATTACCAATTCAACTTTCAAGAAGAACTGTTGAGTTATTGTCAATCCGACGTACTACTACTGAAGGGCGGATGTGAAGTCTTTTGTCGAGAATTCGAAGAAATCAGTGGTTTCAACCCTCTTGAGAGATGCCTGACCATCGCTTCGGCGTGTAATCTTTACTATCGAAAGACTCACATGCTAGAGAGAAGCACTGCCTCAGAACCGATAAGCGGATGGCACGGACAAGATAAACCTCACTCCAAGGCTAGTATCGAGTGGTTGACCTGGCTCAACACAAGACCCCATCACAACATACAACATGGAAGAAACGGTGGTGAATATGTCATTAAAGACGGTCCTCACAAATACTACGTGGACGGTTACGATCCCATCACCAATGTCGTGTACGAATTTAACGGCTGTTATTGGCACGGTTGTCCAAAATGTTACCCTAACCGAGACGAACAAAGCGAAAAGATGGGAGAAAGAACAATGGCTGATGTTTACGAAAACCAAGAGGCAAAAGAGCAACTCTTATTTCTGAAAGGTCACTCAGTACAAGTGATATGGGAGTGTGAATGGAAGAAGAAGAAAGAAGAGGACAAGTCCATTCAAGAAGTGGTGGATTCTTTCCAGATCATTGACAGACTGAAGCCTCGTGACGCCTTTTTTGGAGGTAGAACCAATGCCGTGAAACTGTTTCACGAGATAAAAAACGGCGAGAAAATATGGTATGTCGATTTCACGTCTCTTTATCCCTGGGTAAACAAGAACATGATCTACCCAGTCGGACATCCAACTATCGTTCTCGAACCTGGGGTCACAGACCTAAGCGACTACTTTGGATTAGCTCAATGCACCGTCTTACCACCGACAGAATTGTATCATCCTGTTCTTCCTCATCGAAGTGGAGGAAAATTGACATTTCCCCTGTGCAGAAAATGTGTGGAAACAGAACAACCCAAACCATTGACAGAGCGCAGTTACCAATGTGTACACAGTGACAAAGAAAGATGTCTCACCAGAACTTGGTGCACTCCAGAATTGATGGAGGCTGTCAAACAAGGTTATGTGATACAGCACGTACATGAAGTCTGGCATTTCAGTTTGACGAGCGATGACATGTTCACCTCCTACGTAAACACCTTTCTAAAAATAAAGCAAGAAGCCAGCGGATGGCCAGAATGGGTCGGTAACGACAGCCAAAAAAGTATTGAGTACGTGGAAAACTACGAAAAAAATGAAGGAATCAAATTAGAAATCGACAAGATTCAAAAAAATCCCAGAAGAAGATCATTAGCCAAAATGATGCTCAACAGCTTCTGGGGAAAATATGGTCAACAAGGCAACAAAAGTCAAGTGGTTGCAATCACGCAACCCTCACGTCTGTACGAAACCATCGAAGACGACAAAAAAATAATTCAAGCCTTCAGGATTATGAATGATGAAATGGTAGAAATCGTTTACAAAAATGTCGACGACGAAGAGAGAATTCAACCCAACACTAACATCTTCATTGCCTATTTCACAACGTGTTGGGCGCGATTAAAGTTATATCAAGACGGTCTGAGTAAATTAAATCCACAACAAGTTCTTTACTTTGATACCGATTCCATCATATACTCACAGAAAGAAGGGCAACCAACTCTTACCTTGGGTGATTACCTCGGTGAATTCACCAATGAACTGTCCGAAGACTATCACATCGTAGAATTTGCATCTGCTGGACCAAAGAACTATGGTTATGTGACAAAGAAAAGCAAGGTCGAATGCAAAGTACGTGGATTCACACTCAACACTCGTGGACAAGAACAATTAAACTATGAAATATTAAAACAAAATGTCATTTCCGAAGTCACTTCTCCTAAAAGAAATGAATCCACTGGAGAATGTGTTCCCAGAAAGATTCCCATTGTAAATCCTCACAAGATCGGTCGGGATCCTGAAACAAAACAATTGACCACAAGCGAACAGATCAAAAATTATCGAGTTGTGTTCGACAAACGCGTCGTTGACCCAGACACATTCTTTTCATACCCTTACGGCTTCAAAAAAGCTGTCTTAGATGAAGATGACATTGACATGGCCCTTCTTTTAAGTGATTTTGATTAAAAGTTCTGCGTATACCAGAGACTGAGAGAAACACTTTTAGGAAACAGTGAACACTTTTAGGAAATAGATTATGGAGAAGTTGTGACGTAGCCCATTGTTCTCTATTAAAAGTCACGTGTAAAATCCGAGTGTTGTGATTGGTTGATATGTGTCACGTGTGCTAAATGGGGCTTTCTCATTGGTTAGTGAGTGTATATCGCTGTGCTATACTACTCATATAGTTTGACTCTAACAGACCCTCAGCCGTGATTGTAGTCTTTGAAAAATTGGACTGCTTATTTATTCAAAATTGCACAAAAACTCATTTGATGACCTGTTAATAATTTTTTACGGGTTAGTACCCTAAAGAGTACCACAAAACCTTCCGCTGTGGACCTTATAAGGCTTAACACCCTAAGAGGTACCAAAATAGCTTTCTAAACCCCTGAAAGGTACGATGAGCACCCCCGTCTTTATGTATGGGGATCCCCCTAGGTGTGGTCATGAAACTATACGGAGCCACCTTGAACAAAACTCAAAGATTGGTGAAAATTTCAGACTGCTAAGCATTGAAACAAGTGAAGACTGTTCCCTTATAGAGAAGATGTGAATATAGGCTCCTTTTGAAATGATGAAACTAAAGAACCCTTTGCTTCAGCAGCCAATAGTTCTCTGGTTAGTGATAGGTGATGTAACTGTAACAATTGGTAACAATTTATCTAACGTCAACACAGGGAGTAATGGCCCAATCTCCTGAGCTGGACGCTCATGATATGAGTGCTCCACAGAAAAAAAAGAGAAAACTACTTAAGCACAAAAGTATTGTGAATATATATGATAATACTAACAACTACAATTAATTTATATAGGCATAAAAAAATAAATAAATAAAAAGGTACGTTAATAATTTTATCTAATGACCCTGACCATAACTAAGATATGCAGCTGTTGCACTGGCAGCCTGCTAAGTCAGACAGAATTTTTGATTTCCAAAATTGTGAAAGTGAAGAGGAAGACTTAGCAGCTAAATATAACTGGTTCCAAACACCCAACATAGTCAATGGAACCCAATCGAACTGAATTTCAATCAAACTCAATTTGTGGATCAAGTGTGATTGCATTCAGCAATCGAACCAAATTGAACTAGCACAAAAAAATTGGGCAATCGAACTCAATTGAACGTTTGATTTCTGAATTCTTGATTTTTATAAAACTGGTGTTGAAATCAGTAAGGCTGAAGGTACTTCAGTATAACACATGTTCTTCCTAACTGCAGACATCCCGGAAAAATGGCTTCAGATGCACTTTGAGTCATTAGCTTTAAATGCATAGTGAAAGGATACCAAGGGTGCTACTTTGATACAAAGAAGAGCAAAAATTTTAAAATTTTAAAGAAAATAGGCCAGAAAGGCTGTGCTTTTTTTACAATTAGGTCACCTTCAACGTGAACTGGTTGCATCCTTGTGGCTTGTAAATGCTTTGATTACTTGGCAAGTGAAGATGTTTGTACTTGTAGTGAAATTCAAGAAGAGATGCCACCAGAATATACCGTTAGTATATAAATTTGCCTCAAGAAATCATTGTGTAAGGAAAACAGGGAAAGTTGTCATTTTTCAATAGCAAGTTAACTTACTGGATGTAAATACAAGGGGTATATGTTAGCTTTGTCCTTATCTGTTCTTTTTTTTAAAGTGCTGAGGACAGTTATATTTTTGTTATCTAATATTCAGTAATAAAAGAAATACTTGTTTACAATGAGCTTGTTTCGTATGAAGGTTTACCAGAGCTTGCGCACAGTAACCAAGTGGCAGTGAGGTGCAGGATTGCGGCTTATCAAAATACCTTGATAGAATATCTTTAGTATGACAATTGATATTTTGTACCGTCATTCTGAAGGTTACTTTATGCTCTGTTATGAGGAGGGATTTTGAGTAGAGTGGGGCTGTTTGCCTTTGCTACAGCAAATGTTTCTTTTAGAGGTCAAAGGCATGGTTTCTGGTATGTCGCTTCCCAGAGTTTGACAAAGTTCTATCAGCTTAAAATTTCTTTAGGTTCATTTCAGTATTGCAAAATGTGTTTTAAGCTCTCTAGGTATTGACTCTGTGGGGACGAAGTTTGAAATATTCCATGAACATGTTGCTTACTTGCTCTCTACAATAATATGATGCCAGGCCTGGTGATTTGATTAGATCAATTAGAATAATCATCGCTTGCAAATACAGAAAATGTACCTTCTTGACAGGTCTAATTGCCTGATTGACTGACTTGTTACGGGCCAATCACCTCGGGGCAGATAGGCACATCAAAAACAAAGTCTACAGGCTCCCCTGTCTCATCCTGATTGCTTCCTTCTCTGAATTCTTCAGTTTTGCACTCACCAAATTTTTTTCCATCCTCGCTGGGAGCCTGCTCGCAGGTTATTGTTTGTTAGTATAACTTTACTAGTGATCTATCACGGATGCTGTTCTCTGATTGTAGATTAGATCACGGATTCTGATTCTCTGATTAATAATCTCAAACTCATAATCTAATTGTTTAATATATCATGATAATTTCAAAATCAGTCAGTTTCACTGCTGTCTGCTTGCAGTTAGCTTTCATTTGTTGCAAAGGGACAGCATTGTATTGTATCATGATTTATCACTTTATCACAAGGAAAAGAAGACATTCTTACTTAATTAAATATTCTTATAATATCATGATAACATATGCTTATATGATAAAAACCTTATGCAGAATATCAAAAAAATCAATCCGTTATAAAACCAGTGATAAATCATGATATTAGAAACATCACTTACCAGTAACAGAGAAGATATTTCATGATATATCACAAGTGATAATTAGTCACGATATAGTGATAATCCGCAATGCTGCACCTCTCTGCCCAGCGGGCAGTCAGACCGTGTAACATGACCTTTGTTCAAGGGAATTTATTCACCGAACATAATCGAACACAATCTAATTGATTTAGTTCGATTGTGTTCGGCTTAGTTCAAATGGTTCGGAAATCGAAGCCACTCAAAGTCTGGTGTTCGATTTGGTTTGACTGCCGAGCTCAACCTCGGATTAAGTTCGATTGAGTTCGATTTCCGAACAGAAATCTTCGATAGTATTACAAAATCCTACGCGTAAAGCCAAAGTGCAAGAAAATATTGTCTTTTTCTCTTACGAACCGTTCCCAAACAATGAAACTTTAAAACATACCGATCCTACCTTGTTTGTTTTGTCGCTGGAGATACGTTATTCGACTAACCAAACGCAAGCCGGAAGTACCTTGATATCATCACTCACAGCACAAAGCCATTCAAAACATCAAGTCAGTGGTTTCTTGTGTAGAAAAAATAGTAGGCTTTATCTTCTCTTCTTTTCTTGATTAAATAATAAAAGCAGGCCACATGACTCTTGAAATCTTTGCGAAGTTAAAAGTTCCGTAATTTGAGCAGAAGAGCACAAGACGCATTCTCGTCCCCAGAGCCCACGATCCTTCTGGCCTGCGGTAGGGATTGAGAGCTCTGGGCTGGTCCAACACCGGAAGTCCGCGATTCACGGACTTCCCGTCAAATCTGGCAAATCTGATTGGCTAAGAATACGAAACGAATACTCTGCACATGCTCAGAAAATCGGGTCAGGCCGGAGCTCTCGATCTCTGCCGCAGTCCAGAAGGATCGTGGGCTCTGGGGACGAGAATGCACAAAACGTATAGTAAGCGCGCGGGCTCTGGGTACTAATATACGGAGCCCGCGCGTGCTTCGCTAACCAGTTCTTCCGCGCATGCTCAGTAGTTCCAACTAATACCCCAGCACTCTCCAATCTCGTTCCCAGAGCCCACGTGTCTTTTGGTCAGCGCCAAGACACGGAACCCTGGAATAATCAATTTCTAGACTCCAAGATTTTAGGAGTTCCGGTTCCACGGTGCATGCGTGCCTTGGTTAAAAACATGGCAATCTTGTTCCAAGAGCCCACGTGTCTTTTGGTCAGCGCCAACCAAGTCTGGAACCCAGTCTCTGAAGTCTGGAACCCAGTATGTTGCCATTGTAACCAAGCTGTTAAGCTCATATTGTGGAGCACATTTAGTAGAATCTTACTGCAAAGAATCAAACTGGCTCGATTACTAGCCGCTGTTCGGGAAAGGAGCCCGTGCTCCTCCCTCGAAGGCACGGCCGCCTCTTTTCGGGGAGGAACGTAGACCGGACATGAGAGAGTGGCGGAAATCAAGCCTAAGAATCAAACATTTCTGATACAGATTGGCTGAGATATCTCGTTTCATCATATCTGATCAAAATTTGGTTGAGTGTATGACGTCATCACTGGGCTAATTTGCATATTTTAAAAACTTGAATATCTCTGGAATGAAAAGAGAGATTTCAATATAGTAAACATTTTTCTTCTCACACAGGCTTCTTGTTTTTGTTTTAAAGTGGCTGCGAAAGTAAAGATGTGATTTTTGTCATAGTGGATGCGGAGAACGAAAATACATTACTGAAAACACATCACTGAAAATACATTACTGTAATACACGAAATACACGTTATTAATTACATATTAATTATTGAAGTTTTTTAGGCTAAGAGGAACTGATTCCCAAATTAATGATGCACAATATTGGAATACTGATTGTCCATATCTAGTTGATGGTTTTGGTCTATAGAAGTTTTGATTTGATGCATACTTGGTGTTGTGGTGATGGATTTCTGACACTGGTGTGAGAGCACCAGAGAAATCAGCTGGAATACTCTTTTTGTCATCTTGAATTTTATGAGCAAAGAGTGCAATCTTCATCTTGTAGATATTATTCCCAATATCATTTAGAACTAAAATTTGAAGTAAGGTATAGTAAATTTTCGCTTTTTCCCTCCTATGAGCGAAGAATATACTCTGTACACATCGGTTTTACTTACTCCGTATTCAAAGATTGATATTGATTGCCGATAACAATCGATGAAACTCAATGAAGAAAAAAGGTTGCAAGTTTGATTGTTATTGATTGGATAGTAAGGAATAATGATTTATTCACCATTGATATCAATTGTTATTGGAAATTATTTTTGTTCTTTTGCAAATTACACTGATAAAATGATTGACAAAATTTGTCTGTAAAGGTTTTATTGAGTCATCTTATTTTCATAGCCTGGGAATGTTTTACAATCTTTTTTTTTTTTAATGTTTTATATTTTTTGTTTTACAATCTGACATCAACAAAATAACAAAAACAGAACAACTAACAGAAACATTTTGGGCTTTCCATATTTCTTTGCCAGTCCACAACACCAGAAGAAGCTATCCCATTGTAGCATTGGCATTTAGATGAAGCTAGATGAATCAAATTTTTTTCACTCGATGACAATCGATATCCATCAACATGGGAATTAACGACTGCTATCGATTTTTGTCAATTGATAGCAATGGATAAAATTTTTTTATCATGACAATGATAATGATAATGATAATGATAATGATAATGATAATGATAATGATAATGATAATGTAATACCATGGAAGAGCATGTAGTACCATATAAACCAAAACACTAAATTTAGACTACTGGGAGTTTTACATTTCTCTTGAATAAGAGTCGAGATGCCTTAAAGCAGATTTTAAACCTTGCTAGCAATAACATAACATATGAAGGAATAAAGTGGTTGAGCAAAACTCTTAAGCAGCTTAAACCTCAGGGACAATAACATAAAAGATGAAGGTTTAAAGCAGTCGAGTAAAGCTCTTGAACATAGGAATTGTCAGCCAAGCAGCTCAAACCTTGCGCACAACAACATAGGGTATAAAGCAGTTGAGTAAAAATCTTAAACATGGCAATTATAAATAAAGTAGCTCAAACCTCAGGGAAAATAACATGAGATGAAGGTATAAAGCAGTTGAGTAAAACTCCTAAACATGGCAATTGTAAATTAAGCAGTTTAAACCTCAGGGACAATAACATGAGATGAAGGTATAAAGCAGTTGAGTAAAGCTCTCAAACATAGGAATTGTCAATTAAGGAGCTTCTAAGCTGCTTAATTGTCAATTGCCATGTTCAAAAACATCAAGTGCAATAGCATAAGAGATAAAGCTATAAAGGAGTCGAGTAAAGCTATCAAAAACGGTAATTGTCAGCTAAGCAGCTTTACCCTTGCAGACAATAATGTATAGTGTAACAGATGAAGGAAAGGCAACTGAGTAAAGTTTCCAAACATGACAATTGTCAGCTAAGCAGCTTAAACCTCTAGTACATAAACATAAGTTACAGATAAAGGTATAAAGCAGTTGAGTAGAACTCTTAAACATGGCAATTTTAAATTAAGCAGCTTAAACCTCAGGGACAATAACATGAGATGAATGTATAAAGCAATTGAGTAAAACTCTTAAACATGGCAATTTTAAATTAAGCAGCTTAAACCTCAGGGACAATAACATGAGATGAAGGTATACAGCAGTCGAGTAAAGCTCTCAAACATAGGAATTGTCAATTAAGGAGCTTCTAAGCTGCTTAATAGGCTATATTCGTATTCTCGCTATTGGACTGGAACCAGCTTGAAATGGAGGCTTGTGCGGGGGGAATATCACTAAAAAGCAATTAGAGTCATTTACATTTGAAAAGACTCCCCGCATTAACCTCAGTTGCAAGCTAGTTCCAGTTCAATAGCGAGAATATGAATATGGCCTATTGTCAATCGCCATGTTTAAAAACCCCAGGTGCAACAACAACAGATAAAGGTATAAAGCAGTGGAGTAAAGCTATCGAAAATGGCAATTGTCAGCTACGCAGCTTTAACCTTGCAGACAATAATATACAGTGTAACAGATGAAGGCAAAAAGCAATTGCGTAAAGTTTCCAAACATGACAATTGTCAGCTAAGGAGCTTAAACCTCTAGTGCATATATATACATAAATAATTCTACGTATAACTACTGAAGATGGTTTATGATTACCCATGGAGTGTCATGTTGTATATGTACCTTAAAATTGTAGAAATCTATCAGCTATTATCCCTGGAAATTGCAGAAATTAATCCACAGCAAGGAAAACCAGTCTTTTGCAAAATGAAACAAGATTACTAGCTTGATCCTTCCTCCAAATTTCTATTCTATTCCTTACCTTCACTTGGTAAAAAGCAGTCATGCCATGTGTGTGCATTTCAGAGTTTACATTATCTGTACAAAAATAATAATTTAGTTCTGCAACTGTGATGCAAATTATTCAAAAAATTAATATTTGACAACTGAGAATTCAATTGCTGTAGTTAAATTAGAAAGTAGCGATCCTAAGTTTGTACCTGTTAAGATTACACAAGTATCCCCACCTATCAAGCTGACACTTGCCAAATGGCAACTTAAGAAAAAGAAAGAAAACATGTAGGTGACTCAGGAACAATATTTTGCCGTTATGATGTGAAACAAATCTTTTTCAGAATATCTGATGATTGCATTTTCAAGTCGATTTTGTGAGGGGGATTATGCTTTTGGTCACTCCAACAATGACCAGGCATGAAGCTACTGAAAGCTAACAAAGGACTAGCTTATTTGATACTACAAATACAAGTACTTGGTCATTGCTTACACAATGGGCCTTTAGAGTCTTCTTGGTCTCCCAATTGAAAAAGATGACACAGTGTTATTGTAAGTCTTTGTGTACATTTGTTCTTAAGTGCTTCATAGGTGACAAACAGCTTTTGAAGCCTACACAGCTCATGCAATACAAATATTTTAAACAATTTTCACCATTTGACATTGTCTGAGGTTATGACTGGTAAAAATTTAATATTAATTTTTAATTTTTAGTACCACTTCTTGTGTCAAAAGTGATTACCATCGTAATCAGCATCAAGTTTTAGGTTTGTTTTACAAAGAAAAATATATGTCTACCCTTCTTGCACAAAAAAGGTTGTACCTTCTCAATTTCCCTGGTGTTTGCAAGGGCATAGACCGATATCAGCTGTTTGGTCATGAAATGTGTAAAATTTGAGGTGCCTGCTCACAGTGGAGAACTGGCTGAAAGTTACCTAGAGATGATATTCTCTCAAAAACGAAAACTCAACAAGCTTGCTAATAATTCAGTAGTGTCTCAATTGTTGAAAAATAATAATATAAATGGCTCTGAGCCCTCCTAAAGATATTTTTGTAATGATTGCAATCAGCAACGAGGCCAGAGTCTGTGCTTGCATCTGCATATTCACCACAGTTCAAATGATCCTCAATCTCTGCATTACCATTCATAATGGGATTCTGACCAGCCATTAGCCAACACACTTGGGTTCTTCCAGCCTGTTTACAACTTCCTTTAGTTTGGCTAGCTCCATAACTCAGGGCGTGGAATGCTCCAGCAGCCAGAATTATTGTTTGTTTAATTAATTCTTTGACAGCACAATAATAAATGCTCTTGTTAAGTCTTTCTGAATGACTTCAAGATAGGGTAGATGTTTTCAAAGGCTTCATAGATTTCTGAACGGACTTTAGCACCTTAAACAGTAACAAAATGCAAGTTAGCATTTAGTGTACATGCATGTTAAAGATAGCAATAACTGATAGTACAACAACATTTAAACATATATGAAAAAATAAAACAAATGCAAACTTTTGATTCCTGTGCAATAGATCATCAACCTTTGGTTGTACTGTCATGAATGGCATAAACAATACTGGTCTGACTTCAAAAATACAATATATATGACTCTGAAACTAAGATGACTGTCTGTTAACAATCCTCCCACATGGCTGAAAGCATTTGTCCATTACCCAAATGGGCTTTTTTGGCGATATGGCTGCCATTTTGAATTCTATTGCTTCAAAGAGCTATTATGGGATGCTCAGTATGTATTTGCCCCCTAAACTCCATAATAGCTATTTGAAACAATACAATTCAAAATAGCAGTCATATTGCTGAAAAGGTCCATTAACACATCCATACATTCATGCATCATTCAAGATTACTTGAAGCTTCAGACTTGGCATACGGTGAAACCTGCAGTACTGTACTTTTTTCTTGGAAACTATCAATGTTTGCCATAGAAAAACAAATAGCCATGCAAACAGAAGTAAACATAATGTGATTCTCACCTGTTAAAACCACCTTTCCTGAAACGAAAATTAGTAGGACAATTCTTGGCTTGACCATTCTGTAAATCAGACCAGGAAAAAGTTCTGGTTCATAACTGGAAAATAAATACAACAAAAATAGTATTATGTTAGTAATGTTAATTGAAGTGGAAGAAACAATAAAACAATGTAACAATAATAATAATAATTATTATTATTAGTTACGTCTAACTACTTTATGAAACAATTACCTTGAAAACTGTCCATGCGCTAACACCAAGCCTTCAAGTCGAATTGGAAATCTCACATCACAGCTACCAACCATGTTTTGAATTTTGAATTCTGTAAACTTCGCCTGCGAAAATACCACAAACCAGTTTCATTTACCTAATAAATTTCTGGGCCATCATTAAACACCTGTTGTGCCAGAGTATGCTTTATAAACCCTTGACGTTGTTGACTGTGGGTGAACTTGTCTGTTGTTGGGATCATTCAACCACGAAGCAACAAGTGTGTCACAGGTGTGAGAGTCTGAAGGCAACAGGTCGCTCAAAACTTAACGACACCCCTGAATTAGATCCTTTTGTGAGTGAGGCGCAATTGGTTTTAGTTTTACCTAATTGGATGACAAAGTGGTGCAAACTTTCTAAGTCAATCAACTATAGCATAGTGAAGCAAAACTTAAGAAACTTTCAATACCCAAGTGACAACTGCTCTAAATAGATGGAACTTACTGGAAAACCAAGTTTCTGTACTACTCTGGCATACTTTCTTGCTGCTAGTCTTGACTGATCTTCACTGTGAGAACCAAACAAAATTAAATGCCACCATGTTACATCAATCAAAACTACCCTAAAAAAATTAACTTAACTTAAACACCCTCAAAAATTGTGTTAGTCAAATGTGCTCATGTTCATGTTTTTTCCTTTTGTCATAAACCAGTTTTTTTGCCCTTTGTGGCACTCAGTTGGTATCACTGATAAGAGAAAGCTGTTTTTATGCTGCTGTATTCATTTTATTATTTCAACTATTTTCTTCTTTTTCCACTGTAATTTACGGGTAGCCGTCTTCATTTAACTTTAGGATGTTTATTGAAAGTTGGTAAGGTATTGTCAAAGTAAGTCATTAATGTGTTACAGGTAATTTCCATACCAAATAAATTATTATAATGAATGTACTACAAATTGTAAATTTTAAGCTTTACTTTTGTACCCTGATGTATTTCATTATTTATGAAGTATACTTAAAAACATTTAAACAAAAGACTGCATAAGGGGGTATAAATTAAAATTAACTGAAGGAGGCCAGGTTTTTCTTTTTGTGGGCCAAGGAGTTGGGGTTTCTCACCTCAACTTTCTCAGGGAGATCAAAATACTCATGACATCTTGCTAAACACCTTTTACTATTAATATGTATGTGTATGTTGAGCGACAATCAATTTTAGAGAAGATGACATTTACTATTAGCCAGCACCTCTTTAAGAAATAGAAAACATGTACTGTGTTTCTATCGAGTTACAGAAACACAAGTGGAAGTTTTGGAGAATGAGAAATGCTGTGGGAAACGAGCTGCAGGCGAGTGTTTCCACAGCTTTTTTGAGTTCTCCCAAACTTTCAGGAGTGTTTCAATAACTTGATAGAAACACAGAGAACATGTTTTCTATTTCTTTTAGGAAACACTGCGACTAAAAAAGGAAAACAACTTGTTAACTTTGATGATCAAAATGTAAATTCTCTTTGCTTGTGCCATCATTACATCAACAGCTCACGCTAGCTCTGTGTTTCTATTGAGTTATACAAACACGATGTTTAACCAATCAGCGCGCATATTTCTTAGGACTGTTTTCTAAATGTAACAGAACACACACCTCTTGGCTCCAGTGCAAACCATCTTTCCAGAACTAAATATCAATGCAGTAGTCCTTGGCTCTCGTATCCTCATAATAACTGCTGCAAAACGCTAAAATAAAATGTGTTAAAGACAACACAAATCTCAAGTATAGTATTTGTCACTGCTGGTCAGGGCACTATATGTAATAAGTGTAATATATTGAAAACTTGTTGTTGGTCTGGCTGCCACACAGAGTAAGTGATATAGATAAAAAAGTTGAAAGGTGAAGTACAGAGAAGAACCCCAGCCATTTTGGATGCAAAACTTGTCTGATACAGCCATTCCAAGTGTGGCTACCTGGCATGTTTCCATGCACCTCACTCCAGTCAAGGTACCTCATCTCTTGGAGATGAGGCAGTTATTGCATCACAGCCTACTACTGTAATGAAATTCGTTATTTTATAATCGTCTTAATCCATTGGCTGTCAAAAGCACTGCTAAAATCGAATGAAAAAAAAAAAAAGGATTTTCTTGGTCTCTTCATTGCTTTTGAAGTATTGATATTTATAACCAAAGCTGTAACAAGAAGCTCTAGCAAACCAAGATGTTAATATTATTATTGCTGACTTTAATTATCGTTAAAAAGAAAGGGTTCATAAACAGAATGAGATAGTAGTAGGTGGTACATGTTGTACAACACAGTCCACAAAACTACGTGATAAAGTTTAGGTAGCACTAACTTTTTTAGGAGCGTAAAGTGCTTTGTGGGTCAAAGATATACCAACATGTCATTGGCTACGAAAAATATTCATCATGCTTCAGTGCTAATTAGCAATGAAAACCAACCGTGGTGCCACAAATTTAGTTTGCAAAAAGGCAATTTTTATCAGGAGTTTGTTCTCAACCCCACAGCATTTCAATGCAATTCAACTTTTCTCAGCCTACAAGTTGATAATGAAACTGATACTGATGTCTCTTTTCCCACCCCGATCAATGATGCTGAATGCAAAGCTAGGCTTTGCATTCCTTCGGTTACTTACCTAGGCCTTCAAACTGCAAAGTATGAGCAAAATTGATTTTTCGACTGTGGCCACGATTTCTTTGATTTTTAGTGACAATTACTCTTAAACAAAACTCGCTATGATAAATATTGTGAAAAGCTTTCACACCAGCTGTCCCCAGAGAGCTATATCATACCTTAGGATTGTATTCTGCATTCCTGGCATGAAGAGCAATCTTTTTCAAGTCCAGCTTACAACCAAGGTTTACAGTTGACACAATATTTCTGAAAGGGAAAAATACGAACAATGAAATATCATTTCTACTAAACATAGAAGAATTTACATGTGCTTGTACCAAACAAGGAACACTTGTACAGAGTTTTCCTGGTAAGTCATGTACCGTAGAATTCTGAAAGTAATGACCTCCTGAAAAAAAAAGGGCTCCTCGAAAGTAACATTAATTTTTTCCCTTCCTATTGAACTCTGAAAGTAGTGGTCCCCCCAAAAGTAGTGGCCCACCTGAAAGTAGCAGCCCCTTGAAGAAGTCACTAAAAGAGAAAGTCTCTGTTCTCAGGTTCTGATCATGGACTTGAAGAGCTATCTGTGATTCTACATGTATTTGGAACTGGACTGAATTTTGTTTAAAACTATGATTTATAAACTGTATTTGTCTAGCAGCAGAGTCAAATGACATACTGTAGGGCAATCAGTTGCATTGCGATGTAATGTGACCATTATACTTTTGCCAACGGAACACTTAATTTCTTTTATGTGTCCGCTTTGTCTGAAACGACTGTTACTGTGCAAATGTTTTTTAACCATCCAAAAGTAACGGCTACCTGTAAGTAATGGCTACGCAAAAGTAGTGACTGCTTTTGACTGCTACACCCGAAAGTAACAGGGCCTGTTACTTTCGGCATTACTTTTGGCTTTACTTTTGGAATTCTACGGTATTGGAAAGCACAATTTAACCACTGTTTTGAAAAAAAAAAAAATAGTCGTTACATTGAAGAAACTAGTTTTTGGCCTTGTTTTGTTTTACCTTCTTTTCTGTAACATTTTATCTATTAGGTAATATTATTTTACACATTATTCCAAAACTCAAATTACTGTCGCATTTTCATTGGTTCTTACCCATGTCATTAACATTTTTTTGTTTCTTTACTATGTTTTAATAGACAGATTACATGTTGTTGTGTGTCTGTTCAGTAAAAGATCACAGATGAATGCTGTAATGGAGTAAGAGTGCTCATCAGTAACACTCACTTTTTTGTCCTGACCAAATTTTGACGTCATCTGTGATCTATTACTGAACAGATGTAAGGCAACATAGAATCTATTTGTAAATAAGATTTTAATAGGTGTCCCCTATTAGTAGTGAGCTTTCCCTCGGCTATTTGCTAATCATTTAACTGACATGGAAATAAAGTCTATCTGTCTGTCTGTCTGTCTTTCTGTCGTCTGTCTGTCTAACAACACAAGTTTCTGGCCAAATCTTTGCCATGACTTCACTAAAATTTCTAGAATTCAATTTGGCTTTCTCCTTTATGATTATTAAACAAATACAGTGATTGATTGATTTAGAGCAGTTTTCAATTCAGTGTCGTAAAACCAAAACCAAACAAAAGAGCTGTTTTCAATTGATTGTCAAAAGTTATCAGGCAGGTACCTTGCTTGTGGTTTTGGTTTTAACCATGCTTTGAGATAGACTGAGTAGTCTAATGGGAAAGTAACTGATTTGGAATTGGTTTTACTACTCTCAATTGAAATCCACTCTACTTACCAATTAGACTGTTCAGCTAATCTCAAGTCATAGTAAAACCAAAACCAAAAGCAAAACCAAAGTAATTGCCTGATTACTTTCTACACTCAATTAAAACCCAATCGATCGATCGATCAATCAATCAATCAGTCAGTCAGTCACTCAATCAGTCAGTAAGTCAATCAATCAATCATTCTTTCCAGATAATGACAATATATAATCACACACTCACTGAAGCTGAGGCACAATTCCAGCCTGTTCAGCTGTCATCGGTGTCATTGGTGTTAGTGGTGGCATTGGACTCGGTGTGGGAGGATAAGGGCTCAGACCTCCTGGGAGAGAAGTGGTTGTCTGTAATCCTGATGATCCGGCTGACAAAAGGCCTCCATGGGGCTGCAACAGAAGTTATCATATAACATGTTTAAAAATCATAATTCAACATGCCACAGCCTAAAATAATCTGCTTTTGTGATCAGTGGCTACTAATTAGTGACAGGTAAAAATGAAGGCAATTTAATATCTAATCAGCATTCTTCTTGGTGATTTGAAGAGCATCAGGAATTTCTTTAAAGCTCACAAGTTGCATCTATCCAGTTCAGCCTGAGCAGAGCAGAAAGAGCACACACTGATTTTAGCCATTAATAGTGTTTTCAATACTTCTGTAAAAGCTACCAAACTGGGACTTTATTTGACATTTATCTTGGAACAATTTAGTACCACATGTCATTGTACATGGAACTTAATGTTTCTATTACAAATATAATTTGAAAGAGCATGTTTTTCTAAACTTGGAATATTCTTGTTTGTATTAATAAAATTTAACTTCCATGAAGTCATCTGTATTTTGCATGAGCATAAAAGAGTTTTACAGTTCCCGGTGGTTGACAGGTTTGGTAAATTCCAAACACTTTCACCAGTATGTTTCTTTCCGTAACAGTAATAAGTAAAGACTGAAGCATTTTGGTATTAACTTTGTCATGTGGGAAAAAAAGATGGTAAACATTAAAAGCTTAACAGTTCTTAACAAACTGAGAAATATCTTCCACAGCGGCGTGGGTAAGACCTAAATTAAACTTACATGTAGACGACTACTGTTGAAATCGCGACCGGGCCAAGCTTAAATAACTTACTCAGAACCAATATAAGAGAATATGATATACGAGAACTTAAAGCTGATATCATAGTGCGAGTTTATTCACCTTAATTGGGAGGCAAAAAGGGTTCTCATTTAATTAAACTAGAACCTTTTGTAGGTTAATTTTAAAACGAGACTCCTATACTAAAAGGTCCTGCTCACGTAACATTTTTTACGCATAGATGGAAAGTATCGTCGACGTATTCACCAACTATCCGAGCTTTTCTAGTGCAATTTTGGACCACGGCTCATACATACCTGGACTGGTGTACCTGTCCTGTATCTGTTATCTTCATTCGGATCTAATCTTTCGTCCATGGTTCGCCTACACTTCCCAAAGCTCGGAAAGAACTCAAACAACAACTGTACGCGAGGGAGTGTTTTATAATGTCTGCTCCAGTTGCGACCGACTTGCTTTCTGGGAGTATGATCCAGTTCTCACACGGTCTGATTTAGAATGGAGACTAGAAACGAGGACAAAACGTTTTCAACCACTCTCAGGTCCTTTTTGCAAAATTGGAAAATTAATTAGCTTCCTAAGGTACCGAAATTAGTCTACGTTTTGTAATGACACGTACTATAAATATATGGGGCGACTACTGTCAAACTTTCCGCTCCTTCATTAGCCAACTTTTATTTTACTGCGGGCAGTTCAAGTCAAGTCATCTTTATTTAGGCAGCGTATCAGCCATAGGCTGGTATCAAAAGGGGCCCTGCTTAAAATTAAGACTACAAGATAAAACATGCAGAATTCAGAGTTTATAAAAAGGAGAGAAAAAAGTAATTATAAAGGGATTGTCCCTAGGCTGATTCAGAAATTCTCCTTTGGCCTTTTGGTCGGAGTCTGCATTTGTGCATCCACTAACCTCCTTGAAGGAAACAACAGCAAAGAGGAAAGAGGCTTCCTTGTTTACTTCTTTTTGGGTGGTGGAGTATCCCTGCTTCCAGGTACCCATCGGGGTTAATGGGGGTTTGCACTTCAGCCCTTCATTTAGAACGTGGGGTATTGGATGGGGACCGTGGATTAATTTCCTGCCCCCCTTCCCGACACTTGTATAGATAAAATAGGGGTCCTGAAGACCATATATCCAAAGTGAAAAACAAATAGATTGTTTTCGATATATTCAAATTCAGCTTGGCAGTGAGGCCTAGAGGACACAAACAAAGGAAATTGAATGAGCACGTTTAGGCCTCGCTATCAAGCTGAATTTTAATATATCGAAAGTAGTCTATTGAACGTCGAGGAAAAGGTTGTTGTTATTCATCGTGGTAGATGCAATAATAAAGTGTATTATCGTTTGTCCACGATGTAGTCACTTGAGATGTAGCTAGATCGCGACGTTTCGACTGCCTACTGCTAGTCTTCTTCAGGCGATAAGGTCGACTGATTGCACGGTATCATTTATATCACAAAGGTCGGCTGTGATTGGNTGTTGTGTATTTTGATCGTGGGCATCCATGCTTCAGGAATTTCAACGTCGCGATCTACATCTCAAGTGACTACATCGTGAGACAAACGATAATACACTTTATTAGTCTATTGAACGTTAGCTTGTGCCTCTGTTTCAAAACGAGTCTTCGCGCAAAACCTTTCATATGAAAGTTTGATTTGCATGAAAATGAACCATAAGGCGGAACACATTTTCACATGAATGGTTTAGTACGAAGACTTGTCTTGACAACAGTTTTTCAGCCCCTGTCCGCGTTTAAGGCTTTGTAAAGTTTCGTGGTTCCTGCTCATCGCCCAGCATATGCATCATCACGACACTTGAAACTCTTCTACAGACAGACTAGAACGCTAGTAACCAATCATTTGATGGCCTGCGTAGCAAACGTTCCCGTACGAAGAGCTTTTTTCGCATTCTGGCCGCGCGTAAATTGGAGCGGGAGCAAAAAATTGACGACGCAGGGGTTGTGTCACTTGCTACACCACCCGCTGCTTTGTCGATTTTTTGCTCTCGTTCCAGTTTAATTACGCGCGGCCAGAATGCGGGAAAAAACTCTCATACACCGAGACAATAGCTGTCGACTAAAACTCCAGGCTGTCTAGTGGATATTAGGTTGGGAGGTTAGAGATATAAACAATGATAACACGACTGTATAGTCACTTTTCCACTTATTGCAATCCCTGAAACACAGACCTCGGCAATAACAAGTTGAAATCGTTTTATTTTATCAAGGCTATATACACCTCTAAGCATAAGTTTTCTAATTACAGAATAGTTCCCACGATTTTACCTGTACATGCGTCAAATCTCCATAACATTTTCTCATAAATTAGTTCGTGCTATTTTTAAGGCAGTAAGAGCAAACGGTCACTTAGTTCTATTGCTTTGTACCGAATTTATTGTAGGCAAAAAAATGTGGATGTAATGAGTGGCTAGATGTTTCAGTATCTGAGAATCTGGGTATCTCCGCATCCTTTACACAATTTATCAACAGTTAAATAATTTCATTTGAGCCACTTCCTTCTGGCAAGTTGACACAAACAGCACCTCAACTGTAAGGCACATCAATGATACCTCTGGTCTCCTTCGCAGCCTCTCTTGGGGTCATCACGCGTCAGGCAACCCTCTTAACACTGAGAGACTATGGTACCTCCGTCTCAGCCAAAACGGTTGAGACTATGGTACCTCCAGCACACAGTAACACCACTCTACCCACATGTATGGCCCATTCAATTACATTTTTTGGCAACTCCTAGAGAACAGATTCCATGAGATACAAATTACGAGCCTTCTAATACTACAAGTGAGCCAAAGGAACGGGCACACTGCAGAATTCTTCTACAATTGTTTCACGCAGTATCGAGCGTAAAAATGCCGAAGCAGAAAAATGAAATAAAACTGGCGGTTGACATGAGCCGACCTCTTTATATGAAGTATCAAACGTGTAGCCGAGCCTTTAGTGAAATGCTTTTGATTTGAAGCACTACCCAACCTCGTAAGTAACTTAATTCAAGGAAATATTTTGAAATACAGAGTGTCCAGCACGAAATTCAACTACACGTGCGTCAGTTCCTGAACTACGCTAGCGATGAGCATTAGACATAAATCGACTTGTCTTTTCTTTCGTTCACAAAAATATGCATGGCGATAATGCCGATTTTAATTGGTATCCCCTTTATTCTCCTATTCTACCTTACAGATAGAAAGGAGGGTGGTGGGTAAGAGAGAAATTTTTATCGCGGAGACTAACACTGCATCACTTTCATCATCGTGGTTTTTTTTTTTTGGAAGACAGCTAATCTATCAAACGGCCGTGCCTGTTTTGGCCAGAGTTTCTCAGCTTCTTTGTGACCACGTTATCAGATTCACACCCGTCGGCTGCGAGTTGTTCGAGTCTCGGTCGCATCGAGTCCCATGTCCGAATACTGAGTCTCGAAAAAAGCAGAGAGTCGAACCCCAGCTCGGGCCTCTTTTCCTCGTGGTCGGCAATATTCGGAGCAGTTGATGAATACTTGACGAACATCCGCAGCGAAATCCTCCACTGAATCGTACGCCTTGGCAGTTAAATTCATCTTTATGGTTCCCAAGTCCAAGGGACGTTGCACGTACTCCAGGTAGTCAGGGTTCTAGAGAAGGACAAAATTAGACCAACAAAAACATCGACTCGTAAGAACTACTTTGAATGAAGCAACAATAACTTTACCTCTACTAAATTACGGCACGCAGTCTGTGTCTATCTAACTTTCTAGTGAAGAAAGGATATAGAGTGGCCTGTCTGTTCCTTGCAAACGTTTTACAGCACTCACAAAGATAGGCGTCTTGCTTCACCGCTTCACTGTTACGGTGAGGGTAGGGAGTGGACCCGTGCTATAACGAAGTGAAGGAAAGGACCTTTGGGGGTGTATAGAATTAAAGTCACATTTACAAGAAAGAAGAACGACCTTAGAGTTCATTCACATAACGCTGATGAATTTCAAGCCAACTAACTAAAATGCAGCGATTGCCCAGTGTAACATATACCTCGGTAATATCCACAGGTTCCAAGAAGGGCCAGGCGTCCTCGTGTTTCATCATCTCGTTCAATAGTTTCTGACACGAAACAAGTTTTGCTGTCAGTTTGGGGTTCTTCCTGCCAGTAGGGTTTTTACCCGAGTCAGATCGCAACAAAGGAGACGAAGACCTAGACGAATCGACAGAACTTCGGTCACGGTCGCCGCGCGCCGCAATCTTGATACTTCCTCTCCGACTAGTCCGCGGCGCAGGTGACGGGGAACGCGACGACGGCGAACGCGACGATGAAGACACTCGTCGCCGCTTCGTGGTCTTCTTGACAGCTTTCCCGCCAGTTTTACTTGTACGCGGTGGAGGCGATGGAGAAGAAGAAATTTGTCGTTTTCGAGATCGACTGGGAGCTTTCTTTGTTTTCGGACGCGAAGTACTCCGGGTCGTTTTCTTCTTAACAACTTTGATGCTTCGTTGTAGACTTTTCTGGGCAGCTAGAAATATACCATAAAATAACAAGTCACGTAATAACATACTAAAGAAATCAGAGGGAAGGGAAAAGTTATTGTATGAATGAGACAGTGTTTGTACCTTCAATAGTAGCTTTCTTTACCCGACAGCTCCGAGGCCGTTCATCGTCTGCCCCAGTGCACACCTGACAGGCCCAGTTTCCGCGCGGGATTCGACGCAAAGGTGGATAAGAGCAAGCGAGATGATAGGCCAGCGGACATGTGTCGCAACAGAGAAGCTCTCCTCCCTCAGTGCACAATGCACACTGGTCGCCATGTTCAGAGCTCACGCTACCTTCACCTGTTAAAGAAATTAAAGTAAACACAAACAGTTTAACGTGAACCAACGGATGCACCTCACACAACTAGACTAACATGATGCCGCGTTTGTGAGAAAGTACTAAGGAATTAATACTGGTCAAAATTTCCAAAATCAAAATTCAATTTCAAGGACTTTTTAAGAACCTCCAAGGCGTTAAATTCTAGCTCGGACTTGCCGTTTCAGGAAATTCAAGGTGGATACGAACCTAAAGAAAAGAACTTGATTCGACACGCTAAATAAAAAACAACAACTGAGCAGGGTCTTACTTTGCTCAAAATCATCTTCGCTGTTTGATTTACTCTCGGTTTCATGATGACCTTCATCGCTATCTTCCTCTTCGCTTTCTTCTTCCTTTTCTTCAGAATGTTCTTCATTTTCCTCCTTGAACTCCTCCTTCGCTGCAGGTTTTTTTCTTCTTTCACTGCGCCTCGTTTCCTTGGGACGGCAGTCCGCACAAAACCACTGACCTTCAGGGATCTGTGTTAATATCATAACCGTTAAATTAATACACCGTCCTTGTGATTAGCTTTCAAGTAATCAGAAAAGGAAAGGATATAAGACAAATCGGAGTTTCAAGAACTGGTGCATTGGGCATGCGTTTTAATCCCTAATTTATTTAGGAAAGGATAAATAAGGGATAAATCGCTTGGTAAGATGAGTACCTCTTGAAAGGAAACATTTAACGAAGGCAAACACGTTACAGATTTCAATTTAGAAAGACATACACGCGATTCAGGACAATCACATTTATTACATATATGAGTTGTTCACTGTAACTGCCCGCCAGTTCATTAAGAATTGCGTGTTGGACACGCGAGTGTAATAAAGCACGAGGAGGATGCGCGCGTGACACGAAACGATCGTTTCCAATCCATTTCGACCCACGCTTAGCCTCGTAACGTAAACAGGCGTTCGCTCGACGCAGAAGGAAAACCCTCGCAGTTTACTCAGAGCAACAAGAAATTCATTGGACGTTCAGAGAAAATCAAAAATTGTTGACGATCGACTTGACGGAAGTCTGGGTTACGAGCTACATACCTCTTTGATGGGTGGTTTAAGGCAGTACATGTGGTGACCGCGATCACAGGCGTCACACAACAGCATATGCTCCGCATCTCCTTTCCTCTTGCACAGCCGACAGCGAGCATTCAACACAGACTTACTCCACGCAATGGACTGATCAAGCGTGTTCAAATGTACAAACACTTGAGACAGGTTTGTACAGACCAGTAGCGACTCTTCCCACCTCTCCAGACACGTCTTCTGCTTGACGGGTTCATCATTTGACGAACTGCTGCTACTGCTGCTGAGGTCTTTTTGTCCGTCTTCCTCCGCCTCCTCGCCTTTCTTCTCGCCGTTTTCCTTTGGACCTGCTTCATCAGCATCAGTCTCCTTCTTTCTCTTGTCTTTTTTCTGTTTCTCCTTGGTGTCCGCAGCCTTCATCATCTCGTTGAACTCACTGACAGCAGCGGCTGCGGCTTCTTTTTGTTTCTGTCGCTTGGTCTCCTCATCCTCGCCGAGAGGTGGATTTAAGTACTTTTTTTCTATGCCTTGCTCTACCTGTAAACAAAGTCAGATTGAATAAACTTGAATCAGGAAAAGTTTGCAAGTACAGTGAAACACAACAAACTAAAGACCCTTCTTGCTAAAAAAAACCCCCTCAACTCTTCTGCTTTCTATCCGCTCTATAACAGTTTTGGGGTGTTGGAAAGTTCTATTATTTAATACGAAGGAATCGACATCTCGGTTTATCTAGCTACTACACTCACCAAAAACGTTTTTGGACAACAGGCAGAAATGATAAATAATTACGGTATCGGGTGACAAAAGCTAAGCTTCAATCTATTCCTTACCTTAAGTAGTTCCAGGGCAAGTTCTCTGACCGCCGGATTCACTGCCACAGGTCCTCCAGCCAAGCTAAGTGTCGGTGTACTGCATCGCGTGTCACCTGCGGGAGATGATGGATGGCTGTCTAACTGTAGATGTGACGGTACAGCGGTGAACGGAGGTTCGTCAGGCTTTTCTTCCACTTTAGCGACTTCCTCAGAGCCTACAACGAGAATGAAAGCTAGTCCGGGAATGGGCTGGTACAAAAGGCAGTCGAACGTTCCACTACCAAGACTAACATTCAAATACTCCTTACAGCCTTTCAGAGTTTTTTTTAACTCTCATAGGGAGAATTCATATGCGAAGAGACTATTTTCTTTAGACATCGTGTTTGAACGATCGTTCAATTTTGGTTCCAAAATGCACATTTTCCAAGCGACTTTACTAACTTTTCAGGCAAATTTTATTCAATTATCGAAAGCAAAGCACAATCTGCACTCAAAATCCATCAAAAGCATGCTATCATGCAAATCTCGCAAGCAACAAAATATGGAGCCTGTACACCCCGATATGTCTAACCAATACAACCTAGAAATATAACGACTAATAGGAGGAAGTTACCTGTATGACATTCTTGTTTGATGTCGTCTTTAACTCCATTGATAACTGGCTGTTGCTGGTCATCGCAGTCCATTAGCTCTTCCTCCTTCAAGGCCACTGTCTCCTTCCTCTCGTCTATACTGGGTTTGTTTTCATCCCCAACACTTCTATCAACCTCCATGTGCTCTGGGTCGCCATTTTCCTTGACTTCATTGATTCCATTAGCGTTACACTCCTCGCTGGTTGGTGTCTCAGTCTTACAGAAGACACTGTAGATACCATTCTCCACTTTGGCTCTCCACGCCTCACGGTCGACATTCCTGACGGAGCCCAGACCCCCTTGCCATATTCTGTCCTCTAAATCAAGAATCTGATCGCGCAGGTTTGCCTCGAGGAACTCCTCCATGGTCTTGTACCGAGACTTGTCCACCGTGGGTTGATTTCTACGCCTTCCCTTGGGCTTAGTGTCCTTTTTCTGAGCCTGAATTTCGGCTTTCAAGGGACATTTTTCCACTGCAATGGAGAGCTGTTTGTACTCTTGCTGGATGGCGTCCTTCAAAGGTTTCTCTCGAAAACCTCGCGGATTCAAAGCATCTAACAATTGATCTACATCCTCTTTGGAAGCGAAGTAGGACCACTTGACAACAGGTCTTTTCTTGTAAGATTCACACCAGTCTCCATCTCCACAAGCTTCCTTGGTAAGCTGATACGTTTGAAACATGTTCAAAACTTTCCGTTCAAAGTTTTCAGTGTTTGCAGTATCTTTGCTCTTAGTATGACCATTAACTAAGCGTTTCTCTTCCTTTTTAGCCTTATCTGAATTGCTTTGGTCTAACGTTGAGTTCTCATTTTCTTTAGCGCCTTCCTTTTCTTCATCGCCACTTCCCCCTTCGTTTTCCTGTTAACAAAAAAGTACTTGTTACTATCATTATCATTATCATTATCATTATCATTAACATTATCATTAACATTATCATTATCATCATTATTATCATTTTTGTCTCTGAAAGATGACTTCAACTCAGGTTGTCGAAACGTCAGCCACCAACAACAGTTCTTTTCCGTCAGACCTAACTGATACATTATTACTCCTGGATTCAAACAATTGATTAAATTTGTAAACTGTCGCCTACCTATATTGTTGAATTCTAGTGTAAGTCCCTATGCATCAGTTTGTTATTTTCTATAGAGTCAACCAACGGCCAGAGAAATTACTTTAACAGTACCGTACAAAGAGAATAAAGAGTCTTACAACGCTAAAAAGAAAGCCTGACCTACTCCTGGTGATGATTTGCCACACATGTTTTCATGTTAAGTCTCTAGATTTGAGGGTACGTGAACAATACACCAAAATTGATCATCCCTTCTATTCTCATCACCTGCCTGCCTAACATTGTCTAGAAACTGAAAGAAGAATTAGCTTTTGATGACAAATTACCTCCAATTCAGAGTCAGACTCGGGTTCCAGGAGTAGGTGTTGATCAGGGTCATCATCCTCCACAAACAGTCCTCGGAGTGACCTGAAGGCCCAGTACCGCCTGAACACCCTGTCCCGACCCAGAGGTTGTATTGCACTCCTAGCTACTGCTTTTGCCAACTGATTCAAAAACTCCTGATCCTTCCGTTTGCGATCTTCCCTTCTTTGTTGGGCCAGCTCCTCCTCTTCTTCTTTGGTTAAAACAGGAACCGGAGCTGGTTCATCATCCTTATCCTCTGCAGGTTTGTTCCCATTGACTTTGCTGTCTGTGCTTGCTGTGGATTCTTTTGTTTCACTTGCTTGAGAGCTACTCTCATTTTCTTCCTTCTTCTTTGCAGTTTTCTTACCTGCTTTCTTCACTGGATCTCCTTCATTCTGTTCTGAGCCATTGGTGGTTGCATCCTCAGCTTTTGAACTAGAAACATAAAAATCGCTCGACATTAAGATTGGTACACACGAGGAGACTAGTCCCTGCAACTAGTCCCCTTAAGAGTTTACATGAAGGCACTGGTTAAAGGGACGTCCCATGAAAAAGAGAATCGAGGAACAAGTTGCAGGGACCAAACTTTTGTCCCTGCGACTAGATTTTGAAGCAAAAATGCCCAGTTTAGCCCCTGCAACAAGTCGTGGAGACAAGTCCCCTTGTGTGTGACGACCTTTATGTTAATCAAAACTCTTCGAGTCCATGTAACTATAATCTTGCTATAAATGACATATTACTGTAGGTCCGGAGAAAATTTGCTATCTTAACACAGTTAGTAAGAAGATGCTACAGCAGGATACAATGCATAACAGTATGTTGTGTTACTCTTCGGAAGTCATTGCCACATGTAATCAGCAAAAGCGTTTAATGCTATGTATAACTGCAAGCATGTGTCGCTATTAGTGAACACCAGCACTGTGTAACAAAGATCAATTTACTCTTCATTTCTTCTTTCCCTTTACTGGAAAATGGTCTTTTTCAATTTTAATGTTTATTACCTTGATTCTCCTTTTGCACCGTCTATCTTCTCCTGATCCTTTTCTTTCTTCCTTCTTTCCAGCTCCTCCTTTAGCCGCTGTCTCTCTTCCTGTTTACGGCGGTACCTTGCGGCAGCCTCCTCCTTCTCCTTCCGTTGATCTGCCCACTGGTCCTCCTGCCACTCACGACGGACCTTGCGACACCTGAAGGGCAAGCAAAGACAGATTATGTACCAACATTTACCCTAAATTTTAGAAACTTTACTATTGAATGAAATCGTTTAAACACATCTAGGTCACACTAAAGCAATATGGCAAGACCAAGAAGTTATGGGTGACAAAAATAACCATTCATGAACATTTATGACTACTCACTGGTCAAAACCTTCCTCTACATAGTCTCGGGCTGTTGCATATGTTATCAGCTGAGTGCAGAGAGCTACCAGGACTTTGAGTTTGTCTTGAGCACCCATATCATAGATATTGCCTGTTACCAATGCTTTTAACAACTGAGGTTCGGTGTGCCGAAACTCTACTCCTGCATCATCACTGTAGGTGAATCCCCCTCGACGCTGCCAGCGATAAGATGGCTCACCACATCCTTATGGAGAAGAAGAGCAGATTGAAATTCTCTAGCACAGTTCTCAACTTATGTTAATATTTTTAAAGCAATGTTAGATACAGCTGAACGTCCCTGAATGCCCAGCTCTATAAGCAACTGAATGTGGTAGCTCCCCGGAGCCAAACCACCTACAGGACAACTACGATGAGGCCAGGTATGCTGTATTATTTGCCCACTTTAGTGTTGTACTTGTGACAAGCTCAAGAGACTATTATCCTATGAGCAATTGAATCAAACTAACTAGAGCATGTCTGTTTTACAGGGGGTATTAAACAGCTTCTCTGTAAACCAAAATAAAAAAAAACTCTTAGTAAACAAGCTTGAAAGGAGTTATGGAAGAAATTGCCCAAGGTCTTTATGGTATAGATAAAGTGCAGTGAGGTATGAACAGAAAGGGACTGACACTCCATGCCTCTCCAGGGGGTGGGGGACCCCAATAAAATATGAAAAGGTCAGGTATGCTTGTTTTCTCACTTAGGGGTGTAAATTACTGTTTTTTTGTCTCACTCAGAGTGTTCAGGATGAAATGCCACTATTTTAAGTTATCAATGTATCTTTTAGGGGGCAGTCAAAGAAATAACAATTGAAAAAGATGATGCCATGATGTCATGTGAAAATGCTCTACAGGAGCCCACCAGTGGAAATCCAGTTATCTCAAAAAGTACACTCTTAAAAAAGGTAGATGTCTGAAAAGCAACACATTGTTACTCTGACATACCTATTCTGGCACCAGAGGATAACAGATGAAGTCTCAACAGCTCAGAGCTTGTAAAGGGGTCCATGATCAATTCATGCAGAGGTTTACCCTGGTACTGCATTGGCCAAGCAGCTGCCATTTGTGCTGATGCAGACACAGTGGACTGTGACTTCTCATCACCCTCATCATCAACATCCACGAGGGGCTCATGGTCGTGACTACCGTCCAAACCTTCCTCCTCTTCTTCCTCCAAGTGAGTGCGCAGTATTGCTCCCAGTAAGAACAGCAGCAAGTCATAGTACACACCCTCGGCATCATGTTCTGTCAGAGCTTCCTCTAACATGGCTATATGAGTAGAAGCATAAACAAGTTGACTAAAGACAAAAAAAAATTAAATTTTGGAAATATGTTGCCATGTATGTGTACCAGAATTAGTGATTACATCTGTTGATTTATCGTTACTTAGAAAATATTCAAAGCTACATTTGCGAATGTAAAAAATCAAACATTTTATTTCCAGATAAGCAAAAGGATAAGTAAAATAGCAAAGTTTTTTATTGTGTGGCATGGTAACAGAGCAAAATAAAATATTGATGGTAACACTCAAAAGTGTGTCTGTGAGTACACCCCCAAAGGAGAAGATGAGCATCCCTGATATTTTCACATGGGAGTCCCCCTGGGCAATTTTCCCAGTTCAAAATGATTTGGAACTTTCTAGGGGTTTGGGATTGGGGGTTCAAAAGAAACAGAACTTCCGATGGGGAAATGAGATCACCATAAACCCTCTAAAATGAAAAAATTATAACATTCCATGGTGAGGGTAAGGATATTTTCTGGAACCACAATCTAAATTACAGTAGCAACTTATTTACCAGGCTGACCAAACACTCAATGATTTATGGGCTTACCAAACGTAAGGCCAGAAGGAAATTCATCTTTGATGTCAAAAAGATTACCAAAGACATTGAGGAATTCCAGGACCATCATCATATCACCAAACAGTTCTGATGGAAGCTTTATTGTGACTGGAGTGGTTTTCGGGAGATCCTGTAAACCAATTGAACATGCCATAACAATCAAGTCAATGTCTCAAATGTGTGCATCAATGTCCAAAACCAATCAGAATACTCTTACTGCTTGTCCAATATTTCGTAAGTACATGTAAGGGGTACAGTTTCTACAGTTGGTTTTGAACCTCAAGTCATGTAACAAATCTCTTGTTAACTAAGCTTGCTTGGGACCGTGCTGGGACAATATTAACCCTTTATCTTTTTGGTACAGACTTTGATGCATTTGGTCCATACTGTTCCAGACTTAATGCTGATATTCCCCTATCTCCCATAAATTCTTCGCTTTTTGCTAAGAAGATGTAACAACTTTACTGTCTCTACTCTAGTGTCATTTATCACTGCCTACACACCCAACCCCAAGAGGGAGTTAGTTGTTTCTGTTCAGAGTTTCCTGAACATCCCGCATCAAAAAAAAAAAAAACAGGAAATCACTCAGTATTAGCCCTCAGGATCTTCTTAAGTACTGTCAATTTACAATCTTATGGTGGTTCCTTTACCTTTTCTGAAAAATAATTCTAGCAAAGTAAGTAGTTTTGTTTTCAGTTTCCAACTGAGACTGTAATTCTGACTATTAATTCAGAACCTAAACTTCTGATCAATTAGCTTAAAGACACCTTAGTTATACCTGTGAACAATTTACCAGACTAATTAACATCAAACAGTAGATGTTGTCTTAGCATCCAGATCTAGTCGACTGGGAATTTAACAAACCTTTAAATCATCCAGTTCTAGGTCTTCTCTTGGTTTGTTCCATTCTTTTAATCTTATGGCTTCTAATCTCTTTTCTTCTCGCTGTCTTTCACGCTCCTGTGATTAAATTACAGCAATCACTACTGGCATTCACTTACTAAATGAAGACCAATAGTTAACAGCTAAAACTTTCAGTGTGGTCACCTCTCATTAGCAACCATTTCCCACATGCAACGTCTTGTCAGTAGCCACAACTGCTTTTAGGGCTTACAGTTTGAAATTTTGTTTTTAAGCTCCAGTAAGCAATCACCAGACATATTATCCAAACCCTGGATATCAAAAGTCAGAGTTCCCACTAGTTTTGATAGTTAAGGATACCTGGGACCCCCAGTTCCAAAGAGTTGGGGGTTCTCTTTGCTTTTCAGCGGTCATTTGCCTATTACTAAACATTTTTCCTCTGTCCTGGGATGCACTATGCCAAAAAACTGTGCGTCCTTTTCATTTTTTGCGTGTATAAGACGCACAACTGTGTATTAATGGAAACTCTGAAAAGATTGCTCTGTCTGCCTTTTTTCCTGTTATGAATGACATCTTTCATTCCAAAATGGTAACATCAGAGAAAATGACAGCTCTTATTATTTTTCTTATTATTTTATTAAATTAAAAAGACTTAATCTCAATGTTGCATATATGTATAACCTTCAACACTATACCGTCATTTTTGAGTCAAACAATACATGTACCTACATGTATCAACTTGGGCCAAATGCAAAATTAAACAAATAAATAAGATTTCTTTTGATTGTTACCTTGTCTCTTTCAATCTTTTTGACTGCTCTTTCCTCCTCTCTTTTAGCTTTGTTCTCAGCTTTTTCTTTTTCCCTCTCCTGTTTCTTTCTTTCCCTTTCTTCTTCCAGTTGTTTTTTCCTCTTCTCTTTTTCCTCTTCCATGATTCTGCGCCATTCCTCAGGTGGAAGTTTCATTTTCTTGTTCTCTTTACTTTTCCCATCTTTCTCTTTCTGTGATTCATTGACATTTAGAAATTACAGTCAATTGAGCATGCGTCATTGTATAATTCTTGATCCTGCAAAAGATAACTCTCAGCCTGCGTAGAAGATGAGGTTGGGCCGTAGATCCACTAGTTTCACAGAAAGCTCACTAGCATGGACAAATCAAAATTATCTTATGACCCGATTAACTGTCTTATGTTGTATGCCACCAAAATAATATATGTTTGAATTGTTTTTGCTCTGTTATATGTATCATGTAGCATTCTAACTTAGCATCTAAATCCTTTCCAGCAATGCACTCAACCACAAAATTCCTTCTCATTACTAAATGTCCCTCCAATGATTCTCCCATTAAAAAAAAAAAGCCAGCTAACAAGCCAGAGAAGCCCCTCAAACAAAAACACAACCAAGTTTTCTTACTTTTACAATTCTTCAGTATTCCAGAAGTGCTAATTTTGTGCAAAACTATGCATGAAATGGGTCCCTAGATTTCCTCACCCTTGACACTGGTTGTAAGGATTAACAGCAGGCTGCGATTAATTCCTTACAACTATTATTTAAAAAGGTTGTGATCAATTTAACTTTGACTTTACCACAGTCAAAAGAAAATTGTTGACAACTAAATCTCACCTTTTCCTTCTTTTTCTTGGCACCTTCTTCATTCTTTGACTCATCTTCTTTCTTCTTTTTTCTCTTCTTCTTCACAGGCCCACTCTCTCCTTCTTGGTCTCCATGCACAAGGCTTCTTTTCCTACGCTTTTTGTCTTTTGGGGGAGATGCAAGCTTCAAAGGAATGTCAGGTTCACCAAGATCAAATTTTTGTCGGTATGCCCTCTGGAAAAAAAAAGCATAATTTGGGTTGAAGTAAATAATATACTCAGATTTCTAAATCACATTTAATAGGCAAACAAATATTAACACTGAAGCAGTTTGTTTTTCATCAATTATATGTAAATTGACCTATAAATGGCCCAAAATAGTTCTAGTGGAATGTCTAGCAGAGAATACAGCAATCACACATTTGTTTCCAGATTTTCAACAATTCTGGTCAAATTTCCTGTTTGAGCATGGGATTGCCCACTGTGTTCTGCAAGAAAAATGGTGTTCACCATGCAACATAATAATCCTTTATTACACCTCCTGACTCAAATGAGGAAAAAGTGTCACCAGTCATGGGTCAAAACTTGCAACTCCCTAGGGCAAACAAAACTAACTAACTCCCTAGGGAAACAACAACTTGAACTTTTGACTCGCGTGTGATCAAGTTGTGCACCTTGAAACTCCAGCAAATTTGTCTGCCAGCTGGTGTCAAGCAGTTCATTCTATTTTTGAGTTGGGGGGTATATCAAATAACAAAACACTTAAAGTTCCACTAACCCCCCAAATTTTTTTTGTTGCTAATATAAATTTCCTTTTTCTCCTGATTACCACTGCAAAAAAAATTGTCGTTGTAGCTATTTTTGTTAATTTTCTATGAATTTTTAAAGTTTGTAAATTTGCCCTTTTCCATGTTCACGACCAAGGAATAACGGAGAATGGAACGAGCTGGCTTCTAATGTCACTTCGGGAATAACAGTAGTTTGTTTCTGAGAAGAATGTATGCGAACATGCAATAGTTTGTGTCAAAATTGTTGCAGAATGCAAGGAAGATATGTTGACAGTTGGAGGCTGTAGCAATACAGGATGTGTAGAATAGAGGATTCCCCTTCATTCAATACCTCTATCTCAATGAAACTTTAGCAGAAACGAGAAAAAGACCAAAGAAGTGGGTTGATCTGTGCGAAGCTAAAGCCGAGATTTCTTCGATCTCGGGTTTGCCGCTACTGTAAAAAACCTAGAGATTTTCATGGCCTGTATATTCTTGAAACACACGATTAAGATTTGACTCCATAGCTACCGACAGAGATTGTCGTGCTGAAAGAAGAATGCGCTTGTCAGTCAACCAAAATGCAAACTAATAAGTTGAGGACTCCCAGGTTACTAGCATGCATAAAATGGACATATCATTCAAAATAACAGTGAAGTAGAAATGTATTCATTTAACTGAAAGTATACTGAACCTCTTTTCAAGATCTTGTCAAAGGATTTTCCATGATTTCACAAGTACGAAATATGCAAATTTGCATAGCTTGTGTTCGTACACAGTAATTGACTATGCATATACTATGGTCGATCGACAATAATGAAGTGGAAAGTTACCTCACCTTTGAATATTGTTTGCTGACATCTCTGCTTATCTCTTATGTTAAAACTAATTTCAATCATTGATCCGGAGAAGTAGGCAGGAGTGGAGTATGACTGCATCGCATTTTAACTTGTATTTCGGGGGAAATTAATGTTTGAATGTAAAAATGTTTTGACACTCCGAAATTTGCACATTCCTTAAAGTCTGATTACTAACTCTTTGTGTTCATTGACATCTTTATAACTCTTTAAGAGCTTTAAGCTAATTCTTCAGTCATTATTTGTACCTTTATAACCCAAATGGACCAGCAAATTGTCAATCCCGGCCTAAATATAATTATACAACGTGGCGATCTCGACTGGTGACCCGAACTTCGAAATGGAAGAAAAATATGTACATCACAGCCGTCCAAATCGTAGCTAGACTCCGAATTGTAATGCTAGATGATACAGTTCTTTCACTTAAAATTCTTGTCCAGTTTTGATAAAATATGAATCACAAATAACCGAAAAATGTTTTAACTGCCCTCGAAGCTCAGTCAAAAGTCTCTTGAGTGTTTTAGCCCGGTTTCCCAAGTGACGTTACTGGTAGCCTGACCCAGGTCCCACTTTGCGCGGTTGTGAACATAGAAATTACATGTTTAAATGCCTGTAGAAACGCAGGGATTTTATCAATAGAGATAATTTCTTCGCTGAAGTAATCACAGAAACTAGTAGATTTTATTAAAGGAAAAAAATTTTTGGGGTTTGTGGCACTTTAATAACTGGCCCCACAGGAAATACTTTTGCTTCCCCTCAAGGGTCTTGGGGAAGCAAAACTCATCGCCAGTCATTAAGGGGTTATTATTTACTGAGCTTGTCAAGTGAAGATGGTTGGATATTGACCTCTTTCAATATTATGGTCCTCAGCTGCATCTTGGTCTTCAAAAATGCATAGAAAAGATCTTGGCCAATATCCAGCTATCTTGAGTAAACAAGTGGAGTAATAATATACATATCATCACTTTTGCTAAAATTTCCAGTTTCACGTACTTGAAGATTCAGGAAGTTTCTACAATTTTGATGAAAACACATCATCGAACATTTCAATATAATTACAAGCACACACAGTGTACCTACTTGTAACTATGTAGCTACAGCAGATTACAAACACAGAACAAGCTATCATACCTGAACAATATAGATGCCATCTTCAGAATGTGGAGTACTTCGGTCACAACTGATCTTCAGGAACATTTTCACTTTATCTCTAGTAAACACACCTTTCTTCCGACTGAAAGAGTGAATTGAATTTGTGCAGTAAAAATTATGTTGAATTAATTTAGGACATACCAAGCCTTCATTGGTTTATAATTTGTGCACAAACTCAGTTAACAACATTGTACGTCATGAGAGAAATTCTCCCTACTTGTAGCTACTGCATGAGATGGTGTGGGGGAGGTGGCAGAATTAGCACAGTATACTAGGGGTGCATCAGATTCAATGGCCATTGTATTCTGCTACTAGGGTACTTTACAGTCACACCCAGGAGTATAAATTCCAGCTGCAACAATACACTGATGCACCATGATATTTTAGGCACAATACAAATATCAATAGTTAAAGAGAATACCGCGATAATACAATGTACGCAATAAAAAAGTGGGGATATGTCAATTAAGTTTGGTACCTGACAAGTGAAGCTTCAACAATCACAACCTCATGTTTCTTTTCCTTCTTCTTAGATCCCCTATCTTTTCTATCTGAATGAATTCTGATTTCATAGTGATAAAGAGAAGCAGACGGCCAGTTATACACTGGCTTCTCTTTAGGAGACGATAACTTTGGAGAAGGCCTTTGTGGACTCTCTTTATCTTTCTTACCATTGTTGTCATCGTCATCAATGATGACAATTTCACCTTCAAAACTTTTCGTTTTACTAGTACTTGGTGATTTATTTGTCTTTGAGGATTCTGTTACACCTCCATCAGAAGATGACTTGCTCTTCGGAGAAACAAGCTTGTTGTCACTGGCTTTTCTCGAAGATGGTGTAGATGGTTTCTTTGTTGTCTTATCGCTATTTGATTTAGATGGTGTGCTTTTGCTGTCTGAAGAATGCTTCCTTGATTTGCTGGGAGTCTTTTCACTGAAACTTTCTACACTATGTTTCCTCGATTTAGACTTTGAGGAATGCGATTCCTCATCCAAACTCTTTCGTGGCGATTTTCCAGTTGGTGATTTGGGAAACACATTGTCAGAGCAGTACTTTTTTGCAGATAACGGCTGGCTATCTGAACTACTTGAGCTATTTGTCCTCTCTTTTACTGGTGTTCCATCAGAAGGGCTCTTACGATTCTTAGAAGTTGGGGATTGAAGTTTATCTCCAGAATGGCTGTGTTTTCTAGATTTTGGAGACAAGAGTTTTCCTGCCTTCGCTGTTTTGTTTGGTGAGCCCTCGGGAGGAGGAATTACTCGGGTTATAATACCTCTCTTCCTAACAGAGAAAACAAAGTGAACAAATAATGTACATTGACTTTATTGTTCTTGATCCATACTGTTAACACCTTCGGCCAATATACTATATATATTTGTATAATAACTGCAGAAATTCTTGCACACTCATTGGCTAATTTCAATATCTGTCAACAAGTGGACCAACACATGAATTTATAATTTATGAGACTTCTACCTCTTTGTTATTAGAAAAACAAATTGACATCAGTTCAAAGTAGCCTGCAGATCCACAGCTAATAGCCCTTTTTCATGGTTAGCTTTTGTCATTTGCATTACAATAGAGTCTAGCATGTATGTGAGGCAATTGCAGGCTATTTTGTAGTTTTAGCCCGAAATTGCCTCGCATCCACATTGGATTACATTGTAATGCAAATGAGAAAAATTAACTGTGAAAAGGGCTATTTGACAATGTTATAACAAAATTCTTGATCAGTAACAGGACAGAAGTATGAAAAACTGATGCCAATTTGTTAACTTTGCAATCTACATATTTGCTGGCATTCCAAAATTTTTTAATTGAATGGTTTGCATTTTGGAATGTCAGGAAACTTTATCAGGAATTCTCTGAACAATTTATGCCTGTTCTGGAATTCGGGAATTGTTTAGTCCAACGCTGTGGTCTAAGAAAAATTACCGGGAGACCAAAGGTTCCTAACCATGAAATCCTGGGTGCCCAGTACTTAAGCTTGTACGAAAAAGTAAGTTTTTCCAGTCACCCAAAGGCAAAAGTTAGTCACCTGTGGTACCCCGGTGCTTCTAAAGCACAGCGTTGTAGTCAAAAGGAAAGTGCCATGTGACTGAAAATTGTTTTCTATTTTTTGGTCAAAATTGTATACTTGTATGAGTCTTGTATTATTTTGGTGAGGCTGAACACAAAGTAGTGACTGTAGCCAGGGCTCAGACCCAGACTGCTCAATCTGGAGTCCAGCGCACTACCATCAGTTCATTAAGATAATAAAACAAATATATTAGTTTTAATATATTAATTTTAATTTTAATTTTCCATACTTTTTCAACAGTTGTAATTTACTGTTTGGTCATGGTCAAATTGTTAAAAAGGCCACAATCACCCAATAAAATGTTGGAACTCAGCTGGAGGTATAAGTGAAGTACATGTAAGTTCACTATAGTGTTTTGGACACTTTTTAATGTCATTTCTTTGGTCTTGAGAGGAGTTGGCTTGGAAAATACTTGTTGATTTACTTGTTAATATTTATAACACTGAAGATTTGTTAGTGAATGAGAAATAAACAGAGCAAAATCTTGCTACCACAACTGAGGGAAATATAATGACATAGTTATGAATGCCATTTTCGTGGCCCAGGCCCTCATTTCCATAGCTCTGGAATAATGCGTGCATGGAATTTCCCAAGTTTTTGTGAAAAGGGTAAAACTGAGATTTATATGAATAACAGAGTTTAAAAAATATTGAAATGAGTGTATTCATCAGTTATAAAGTCCAAAAAATTATCACTTATACACCAACTATATCAGTGATGTTACTTTCAAATGAGAAACACAAATGTAAGCATTTCCCGTGCAAACAACTAGATGCCAAGGTGTACATTTTACATTATAGTACTTAAAAATATGTTTCTTTTATTTGTCCTGAAATTGTTACCAACTATTTGACTTATGAACATTACCAAGTCTTCTCCAAAAACTGAATTAAGAACAAAAATTTAAAAAAAAGAATAATTTTTGACAGCTGTCACTCAAAAAGGTCAATTATTATTCACAAGGGCTGAAAAATGAAATGGGCTAGATTACAGCAGAAATATGACTGAGGTGCATTATAGGCTAATCACTCAAACAAAATGGCTACCTCCTCTGTCTGAAGAAAAAAAATTCCTAAGTTTTCCTGAAAACAAAATTTTGGAAAATAACCCCCCCACACCCCACCCCTCCACATTTTGTACCCCTTTAATAAATTAGTCAAGGAAAAAGAACTAGAATGAAGAGAAAAAAAAGAGACTTCTACCTTAGAGTAGCGTTATAGGTGAAGAAGACGCTCGCTGGATGGCATGTGACGCATTATACCTCGCGACGGTTTGGACCCATCACCAACCACCAACACCATGCAAAAATCTGCCCCATACCCCTCAAATGTGATCCCATGGTAGAGAAATCGCCCTTTCAAAAGAAATAAATACACTTACTTGTTCGAAAGGTAGTTAACCTCAACTTCTTCGCCTTCCTGGTAGCGATCCTTCAAATATGAAAACACTTCATCGCATAAATTAGCTAGTCGACCACGTTGAGTGTGGTGTACGAGCGTGAGAGCCGCTCGCTGGATGGGCTCTGGGAGACTATGGCCTTGCTTTCTAATCGACCTTTCCGACTCTTGTGCTTCTTGGTAGGTTAAACCACTCTTGCCAGTATATTTGCAGCTCCATAGCGTGCTGCTACATAAAATTGTACGCTCGAAAAACGACCTGAAACGGAAAAATGGCGGAGTCATACAACGTTGGGTGAAACTGTGAACAGTCAAAATGAATGAGAGTGAACCGGATATAGAAATACTGCAATAGAAGGTAAACTTTACCTATAATCACGGAAAACTTCATTTGTATGGCGACAAACGAAGACTTCTTCGTCAGGTTTTAGATCTGGAGGTGGTTTTGAAGGTGAAAACGTTTTTCTATTCAGCAAAGGCATGGTGAGGTTGCCAAACTAGAGAGTGCGGTGGTTGACCGCGAAACTCTCCCAACGCGCGCGTAAAAGTAGCCACGACTTCCCGCAAGAAGAAATCCAAGACCTTAGATAAAAGTAACTGAGGAAGATTTCTAGCCAAGCGGTTCTGGCCAGAGGAAAAGGTCAAAATTTGTCCTTACAGTTAAGCAAATTCTCCGCCGACCACGCAGCTCGTGTGCTCCCACAGGCCTACAATGCCCTGATGTCTCAATAGACTTCCTCCAATACCGGCGACCGCACGAGTGCAGAGATGCCCATTTCGTAAGCAAATTTCTCCAAATCTACCCGCTCAAATTTTACCAAATTTCACAACAGTAGACTACACTCAGCTCTGAACAAGATCCTTGGTTCAGAAGAGAGTCTAAGATTTTCTAGCAATATAATTTCACGTTAAAAATCAAGAAACATTTTTCTACCTCTCCTAAGCACATTTGAGTTTTGCGGGTCTGATGGGCCGGCTTTAGCCGAAAATATCTCTTTTCATTGGCTAAAAACAGAATGATTGGCATTCGGACTGGTTCAAGCAAACCATATATGGGAACGATGGCGTGATTTCGGTCAGCGGGTTTTCTTTCAAAAATAGAACTTCCAATGATTCGAACTAGCGGTGTTGTTCAAATTTTGCGGAAAAGATTTGGATTTGCAAGGTATTTTTCCTTTTTTTAATTTGTCTCTTAGGTTTAAATGGACGAAAATAACGCGTTCAGCCTTAAGCTTAAATTAACATCGTAAAATGGCAGTGACATCTAGTAAAACAGGAGCTCCACATGGTGGTCAATTTTGTAGCGTGTACTTCGTGTACTAAAATGTCAAATCACCATTAATAATATTATTGCAATTTTAGAGAAGTTAAACAAGCTTATAGTATTCAGTACAATTTGTTTGCAAGGAGTATGATTTGAAAATACAACTTAGCTATAAAAACTGCGAACTGAAAAGTTGATCTAAAATCTTCCCATCTTGCGAATTATTTATTGTTGTTAAACTATCAGTACACATGAATACGCCATGTTTAAGTTTAGCTCACTTATATACTACTACAGAAGTACCCTTTTGATCCGAACATCATAAGGCCACTGAAATCTCGTCGTATTTATGACAGGCAAAAAGGAATTTGCCCGAATTTTGTTTAATTTTGTTGACAGATGTAGCCAGATGACACATGCAGGGTTTTTTCCAAGTAATGTGTTTTTCACCACATATGCAACTACGACTCTGTGTTTGCAGATGAAACATTGCAAGTTAGATGATGTACAAAACATTTCTGTTCATAGTGGTAGTGCACAGATCTAAATGACATTTTAGTGCTGTTTTACAACTACAACAACCAATTCTTACACTTTGTAATTCTGTATCTTTGCAGAATACCTGCAAGGTCTGCTACTAAGGGAAGCAATCGGCCAAGATGGATCAAGAGACAACAAACAGTAAGAAAACAGTTTTAGTAATAATTTGGTCTCTCCTTACAATGTCATTTTCAAAGATTGTTACTGTCCGATCAACACAAGTAAATTTTTCTCAGTAATGTTTGAAACCTTCAAACTGCCTTAAAAATTTAAATTTAGACTGTAACAGTAGTAATTGAAGGCAATTATAGTTGCCTGAATACTAAAGCATAAGAAAAAAAATAATATGCCCATGGCTATTTAAATTATTAATAACTACAATCTCGGTCAAAAGAAGATGTGGCATAAAAAAGCCGATATTTTTATCACTACATGTTACAAATTATCATGTATTGAGCTCCCCTCCCCCCCCCTTCCCACAATGTTGCCGTGGACCAGTGCGATTGAAATGCCACCAGTACAGCCCATAGAGATCAAAGTTGAATGGGGTAAGGGGGTAAAGGGGAGGGATTATGTTATGCGTGACTGAAAAACCTTACTCTCTCTCTACAGCCCACAACAATTTTGACCAGGATTGTAGGTACTAGGTAAACCTGGGATTCTGCATAGAGTCAGTGGTGTAAATGAGGAAAGGTTGCTATTCCCTTTTGGAAGAACTTGTAATAATCTAGTTGTTTGTCCTCATTTCTTTTACTCTATTTAACAAACTGATGTCAGTTTTTCTCGCGTCTATCCTGTTATTGATCATGACTTTCGTCATAACAATGTCAAAGTAGCTGTGGATCCACAAAGTGATATCTGAGTGGATCTGCAGACTACTTTGACAATGTTATGACAAAATTTATTGTCAATAACAAATTGTCAAATTGTCCACTCTTGCTTGTTGACGCATTGCATAAATTATAAATTCATGTGTCTGTCCGCTTATTGACGATAAAAATTAGCCAATGAGCAAGCGGGAATTTCTGCAGTTATCGTAAAAACTCTTTTAGCTGTCCTTACGATTGATTCTGGTTGAATTTTGATACAATGCAGGATTTTTATGTGAAGAAAGCTCATGAAGACAACTATCGTTGTCGTAGCGCCTATAAACTGATTGAGTTGGATGACAAGTTCCATTTCCTTCGACCTGGAAGAGTTATAATTGACTGTGGTGCAAGCCCAGGTAACAAATAAATAACGAGCTTTCTCATTATTTTCTTTTCTTTTTTCACCAGTACCAATGATCAAAGGAGATAAAGTAAAGGCACATGAACATGCCATGGGAGGCGCAGTGGCCTCATGGTTAGTGCGCTCTTCTCCGGATCGAGCTGTCCAGGTTTGAGCCCTGGCCGGGGACATTGTGTTGTGTTCTTGGGCAAGACACTTTACTCTCACAGTGCCTCTCTCCACCCANCAGGGGGGAGTAGAAATACTCCTAGTCGCTTCATGCTACAGAAACCGGGATAAGCTCCGGCCTGATGGGCCACTTGGCTCGTATGTAGACTTTACTTACTTACTCACATGAACATGCTACAAAAAGAATAAAAAAAAGAAAATTGTAAACAACGGTATGGTTACCATAGTATATGTGCTAGTAAAAGACCTTATTTTAAAATAATTAGTAAGATTAGCTTAGTAAAGAGTTATTAAAAGCCTTTTCCTTAAATGAAAATAATAGCGACATGATGATAAATGCAAATGCAGTCATAACAATCTTGGAAAAAAGACCTGAAAATTTTTTCAGGTCTTTTCTTTAGTAGTGTTATGGCTGCATTTGCATTTATCATGTCTACATTTAATAATTTATTGCTTCTGTTGGACATCTATTACTATAAAAAATAGTAGCATCTGACGGCTGGCAAAGAATTCTCAAGATGTTCCTGCAGTAAGTATATGATCAGTAATTGCCCACAGGTCTGGAGATATAAGTATCACCTTCAGTATTGGCCACCTTCTGAGGCTGCATGAAAGGTTGGTAACAGGGCTGTCAAGTTGCCCACTGCTGTTTAAAATCACCATCTCCTCAATCTTGGCTGGTCATTCAGCTGGGCTGTTTGTCTTGTTCTGTAAAAGGTGACAATAAAGGCACCTGCTTCAAAATTTTGTGACACCCTTTAATCACACACTCACTCATCCCCATCTCGTGGTCCCTGGCAATCTTTCAGCCTCTGCCTGGACTGAGCCAAGCTCTGAGGTCTGCTGTCACAGTTCTTGGCCAGGTTGTCTTTGGCCTTCCTCCACGCCGCTTGAGGATAACCTTAGGGATGGTATTGTTTCCCTGTAATAATATGCTATATTGTTTTTGGATAGGTTCTTGGACCCAAGTGGCTGTAGACAGAGTGTTAACACAGAAAACTGGTTGGTACTTTAGCAGACTCTTGTTACTTGGTGGAATAATAAAAATAATATTTTAAAGACTTGCATGATCTACTCTATGACGGGTGATTTTTTAAATTGAATTTTTTAAATTAAATTTTTTAATTTTCAATTCAAATCCTACATTATAAAAACACTGTAGTTTGCATATTTATGAATTTTGAGGTCTGTAATGAAGAAACCAATACATAAAAATACACATACAGTGAAACCTGTATTAAGCAACCCCATGTTAAGCGGACACCCTCTATTAAGTGGACACCAGCTGAAGTCCCAAAATTTTCTTCCCACATTTACTGTAAAATAAACCTGCATTCATAATAGTTAATAATAAACTATTATTGCATAACACATTAGAACCTGTTTTGAACAGACACCCTGTATCAAGTGGACACTAGTGAAGGTCCCAAGGGTGTCCGCTAAATACAGGTTTCACTGTATGATGGAAATCTTGTGTAAATGCAGTGTATCCTTCGGGGCATATATTCTGTGTCTTATTTTGAATTCTTTACAGGTTATTGGGATGGCCTTGTCATTGCTGTGGATTTACTAGGTATTGATTTGAAATGATATAGAGGATATTACATGATATGAATTTTATCTTCGAGGTTCAACTCGATATTGAGATATTGAGTTGAAGACAAGATGATAAAATTCGTATCCACAAGCAGGCATGTAATATTCTGTTTATTGTATGAACATACTAATGACGACGTTTTTGACAATTTTCTGAAGATTTCCGACTACTCTCCAAAGATTTCCGAAGATTCTCCAAAATTGTTCCGAAGGCCAGACGAGCGCTTCCGAACATTTTCAGAACATTTCTGAAGATTACCGAAGATTGCCGAAGATGACTGAAGAAGATACAAAGATGTTTCGATCATAGATCAACAAATTTAAGTGTAATTAAAGGGACAAGAGAAATATGTTATAAAAAAGGAATGATATCTTCACAGTGTGAAAGATAAAAATAGTATCTTCACTGCACGCAATGAAGATATGATTTTTTAGTAAAAGGAAAAATCCTGGTACTTCACTGGTGGTTATATAATAATATTATTATAACACTACTATGGGATGTAAGATATTTAACCAACAAGGAGTTGTTTATGATCATCTCATATCCAACAAGAGCAAATTATTGGTATAATAACCTTACTTTTTTACCATTGCAAAACAAAATATTTCCCTTAAGCAGGCATCTATTGAGTTTTAGTGTAAATCTACGAGCGTTCTACCATGAATGCCATTCGCCCATTGGCTACACTACACACTATCACTATCAGTCTTGCTATCTCAAATCACCTCAGTCTTACTATCTCAATTCTTTCATCATCTTATGTTTCCTTTTTTTTCGTCATTTCCTTTTTTACAGAAATTGATGATATTCATGGAGCAACTATTCTATCAAGATGCGACTTTACAAGTGCTACTACACAGAGACAGATCCTCTCAATATTGCCTCCTGCTGGTGCTGATGTTATTATGAGGTACAACAGTTTTTAGGGAAAATGTTAGCATCACCAACATCATCAAGGCTGTGCTCTAGGAGTGCCTGGGTGCCACAGGGGACTAACTTTTGCCTTTGGGTAACTGGAAAAACTTACTTTTTTCACACAAGTTTTGTGATGGGCACCCAGGATTTCATGGTTAGGAACCTTTGGGCTCCTCATAATTTTTCCTAGACCACAACCTTGATCATCTTGTTTTCTATAAACCTTGAAATATTGTTTTTGTTAACTTGGCATTGTGTTTGTTTATTTTTCAGTGATATGGCTCCAAATGCAAGTGGAAACCACACAATGAGTCATGAAGCCATCTTGGTTAGTCTAATGCACATATCACTGGCTTTTCCATGCAGTTGAACCCCAGGCCAAGACTGGTGATGGGAAATTTTTATGAGGCAATGTCCCCGGATTTACATATTCTTACACAGACATTCTCCCCTAATTCCATATCTAATCCCCTTCTTCTTTGTCCTGACCATAAATGTTGCTTGGCCCATCACTGGTTGCCTTATAAGCAGCAGTTTGCTGCTACCTCTTTTTACACCTCAGTGAAAATGGCACAGTGATAAGGGGTGGACCATTATTTTGAGGGGAGTGGGGTTGGGGAATTTCCTCACCCCCTCCCTCCCCCAAAAAATTCCTGCACAGCAAAAACTGCTGACAAAAAAATTGTGAAGACATTGATGATCATCGCAGTTATGTACGCAAAAGCAGTGGTGAAATGAAAGCCTGGAAAAAGGGGAGCCATGGGGAAAAAATTGAGCAAGTCCTTTGCTACTATCCAGGTTGATTCCTGATGTTAAAAAAATTCTTGCACAAGCTATTGCTCACCAAAAAAAAATCATGCACAATCTAAAGGTGAGAAAAAAAATTTCATTACCCAGAAAAGTGCCCCTCCCCTCAAAAAATAATGGTGCATCCGTAATAAATTGTTTTGCGTGATTAAGAGTGCATTCCTTTGGGGTGATCTGGATCATGATCAGTGATCCAAGATCACTCGGATCATGGTGCATCAAAGAAACCGATTAATCCACTCTGGTCATGGATTCATCGGTTCCTTTGATGCACTATGATCCGAGTGATCTTGGATCACTGATCCTTATCCAGATCACCCCAAAGGAACACACTCAAAGTTGTGATGTATAGACCACAACACAGTGACCCTTGTCAGATGTCTGTCCTGGCCTGTGGCACTAATCATCACTTACTACATCTCCCACAAACTAAAGTAAACCTAACTTAACTTGTATGTTTGATGTACAGAGCCTCTGTGAGTCAGCCCTGGATTTTGGGAAATCTGTTTTGAAGCCTGGTGGGATTTTCCTTTGCAAACTCTGGGATGGCTATGGCACACAAGGTACGTGTAAAAATGAATTCTTACAATGTTCACAAAGTTTTTAATGGTCTAATTATGTTTTCTACAAAGAATGATAGCTAATTGAAAGTACATTTATTTGACACTCCTAAAGCTAACACAAAGTCAGATTGTACCTTATTTAAAACACAGTATGGTTAGCTCTCCTGTTGGTAGTAATAAATTGGGAAATACCTAATGAAATATATCTCTCAGTTAAATTTGTACACGTGTAGGTTCTCATAATCAGCCAGCCATCCTTTGTACGGAACTATAAACCTCAAAATACTCCTTACAGTAAGCTGTTTATGACTACAAGAGGAAACCTGTATTAAGCAACCAAATTTACTTGGCAAGATGGCTGGTAGTTTATGGGTAGTACAAGTCTTTGGGGGCAATCACAGGCTTCAACAGAAATGATTTGAGTTAGTACATGGGGCACTTATGTTGTCTTAAGGACTGAAGAAAAGGTGCTTAAAAAGAGGAAAGGGGTACTTATTCTTGTTGTCCTTACCTAAACACCTAAGTCAACATGGACATCTTTCATATAGATGAGGTGAAACAGCTGTTATTGTAGTGCATAGCAGGTTAACATACAAACAAGGTGACTGGGTTAATCTGCTTCAATGACTAGTTGAACCTCATTCTTTGTTCATGTGCTTTCTCAACCAAAGACTATAATAATCATCCCAGACTCAGCTGCAATAACAGCTACATTTTTGTATTAATCCCTCACGTAAAAGTATCAGCTGGGACACATGGAAGACCAGGTGTTTTGTAATGCAGAGATGATATGAAAGGCAGAAAAACAATGGATGGTCTTATTGTACTCGGATGGTGCTGGAATTGAATATTTATCTTTGACTGATATGACTTCTGATTTTTCAGATTTTATCAAGACACTAGAGGGAAATTTCAGTAAAGTTAGGAAATGTAAACCTCAAGCAAGCAGAAAAGAATCAGCTGAGATCTACCTTTATGCTGAGAGCTTTAAGAAATCTTGATAATAAATTAATCTGTTAAACTCTTGAGTGTAGGTTTTCATAACAGATACATGCTGTGTAGCATTTAAAGAAAATAATTAAGCTCTGAAAATTATGGCTCAAGATGGCAGCTGAAGGACCTCAGTGCAGAGCAAGTCACCATTCTTTAAGTAACATTATCAAGAATCAATGAGAAATAATCACTACAATTACAGGGAAAGCCTGAAAAAAATACTTCGTACCTCATTTAAACCCACTTGCTGAGAATTAAAGGCATAAGCTCAGTTGCGACTTTTATGATTCATTTCTTGGATTTATTACTACTGATAATAACTCCCTCTGGAAAGACTCCCTTCCCAAGTGCAAATGCCAAGAACCCTCCGCAATTTAAGCCCATGCTGATAGGTGTGTATTTAGATTTTGTTCTTGGTGAAAGATGTAACTTGTGATTATTAATCAGTAGAAAACATTATAAAGTCATGAATACCCGTGAAAGTTTTGGGAGAAAACACACTGTGAAAACTTACAAGGCTTGTGTTCCCACAGCATTCCTTGTTCTCCTAAACTCCCACTTGTGTTTCGGTGAGTTCAAAAACACACTTAAATAATTGCAATAATTATGTTTTCTATTTCAAAAGAGAGCTTTAGTTTGCAGTATTCTTCTATGTGCCTACAACAAAACTTTGACTCTTGCTTCAGAAATCTGTATGACAAGTTTCAAACATAACAACTATTTTTATTCCCAAATCTGTACAAACCATTTTTAATGTATTCTAAATAAATATGCTACAGTTAACTCAAATTCAGTCAAAGCAATAAAAAATATATTTTTTTGAAAAAGTTATGTCAGAGTTGTTTTTGGTACAATATGTCATAATGTCCAGGCCGGTACAGTAAATTGACCAAAGGCCTTGAGCCATCTTCAGGAAAGTCGTGCTGATTGACAGATTGATTTCCACCTCTGTCCATGTACACCACACGGACACATACACCTAGTGCATCAGTCAGTGCTATGATATGAATCTGGTCACTTTCTTTGGCCATAGGCTCAACTTCCTGATGAGAAAAATATGAGAATTTCATGTAAGTCCACTCATGTCGATGTTCAGGTGGAATATCTCAACTGACACTGACTTTCTCCCACGTATTTTGATTTGTTACAATCATGTACCAATGGACCAATTTTGATATATTAAAACTCAACAAACTCTGTAGTTATTCCCCAAAGCCTACTGAGGTCTATTGTCTTAGGCTGAATTTTAATATATCAAAATTGATCTATTGTACCCTAGTGTAAAATGAAAGCTTCCTATAGGCTAATGTGGTTTGTTTATTAGTTACTTGTCACTTTTTCTTTATTTGTTATGTTTAAAAATGTCTCGGTGACACAACTGGGTAATATGGACACTTAAGCATGTCTCTTGAAAAAGAGCTCAAGAAATTTATTGGACTGGAAATAAAGTATTCTGATGGTTTATTTTGGATGGAGTTTGTTGCAGGAGTAAAGCTGGTTAACATCTGAAATGGGGAATTAATGGGGCTTAATGGCCCCTCAAACTTGCATGCAAAAATCTGTCAAATGACAAGCCCCTTCAAAATAAGCTCACCAAGGAAATGAGCTCAATAACATTATCTGTCATGGTTCTACTATTTGATCATTTGTTAGATGTCTTTGTCAAGCCGATTTACTGTACAAATTAATTTTCCAGTACAAGAGAAGGAACATTTTTGGCACTTCTAGCATAAAATGTTTCACATAAAAATTGATATCACCTGCCAATCTAGTGTTGTTATTCTATCACTTATTACAAGTCAGAACAACTTTGATTTTCTTGCTCTAGACAGGTCGTTAAAATTAGAAATAAATTTCACCTGGCTGCGGAATTCTTGTACCGTTCTTCCTCCTTCAATAAAGTTCTCAAAAAAATCAGCCTTTTTCTGAAGTTGTGCAGATGTTAACAGTCGTAGATATACAACAATATAATTTGAAATACCCTCATCTTGAAAAGTCTGAAAGAGAAGAAAAACAACCATATTTATCTTGAAATAATAATTAAATTTATGTTATTCAAATTATATTATAAAGACAATTAAAAAATCCCTCACAATTAACTTAAACAGGAGTTTTAAAACCTCCAGTTATCTGATGACCACACATTAGAGTGACTAAGATTGATGACAAGTACTACAAATAACGCTCCAGGTTACTATGTTCTTCTCAGATCCTCACCTTTAATAATTGCTCAACAGACTGATTTTTTCCAACAGATTCAATTGCTTCCATAAACTGTCATTCAAGCAAAGCAAAATCAGTTAGTTTTTAATAACTAGAATACCTAGTCATTTCATAAAATTTATGTATAAATGTAAAAATTGTTTCAGAAGGTAACCAATTTTTTTTGGAAGTTAATTCAATATTCTAGTGCTTGAAATTCAGCTGCAACCTCTAGTTGGTAACTTCCAAGAACAAAAATCCTCTGGAACTCAAGATTTATTTACCAACCCATTCATGTTTCTCTTCTTGGTCACATTCTTTGTTGTTACCACATTTTCATCAAATGTGTTTGACTTGCCTTTGTGGGAATACAAAGAGGACTTTCATCTACATTTACTTATTAAAATCACCTTGCAAAACTCAGCTTTTGTTCTTTTTAATGGCTTCCACCCAGAGGGTGAAAGTCATCACCACCTTGTTATGACAAATTGTCCACTTGCTTAGACCACGCTCCATTGTACATATATAATACCCTGGTTTCTGTAGCATGAAACAACTAGCAGAGTTGCTTCCTTCCACCACACCCCTGCCCCCAAAAAGATGGAATGCTCATCCATTACTGGTGACTAGTCAGTAGTTTGTGAGGTTGCCCTAATAGTTTTTCAATACCCATTTATATACCTGGGTAGAGAGAGGAACCGTGGGAGTAAGCATGTTTAAAACACGAAATGTGGAAATGTTGAAATGGAACTTCAGGTAAGAGTGAATGTGGGATATGGGTGTCTGTAAGGGTTAATCCTTACAACTACTGAGAGCCAACCACTGTCGATTCAGTGATACTTAGGCTAACCAGAATGCTATTAAGACTAACCATAGTGCCATTTCATGTTTTCAACATGCCCTGAGGGTAAAGTGTCTTGCTCAAGAACACATCATAGTGAGTCCCTGTACAGGTCACCCAGTCTGCTTTGAATGTGCTTACCATTCCACAACCATCTCTTCTACTACATTGATATAGAATAAATGTAAAAGTAAATTAAAATAGAACTTACAACTTGATGAAAGTCCTCTATTGTAAAAGATGGAAATCCAAGAGAGACAAGTTCATCTTTACTTTGCGAGGCTAGAGTTTTAAACCTGTAATAAAGGTAACAAAAGTTTTTGGAATTTTGGGTAAAAAGCCTCCGAGCAATGTCAGAATTTTGATATATTGAAGATGGGCTATTGGGTATGTAACTGCAGGATGAGCATTTAATTACCAATCTACCACGTGGCAAAAAATTTTGGCGGGAGTTTAATTTTGCGGATCAGTGGTTTTGTGCATTTTACAGGAAGTAATTTTTGCTGTTGAGAAAGGCTGCTTTTTGTAGCTGGGTATTAATTTTTGCAATTTTCAGGAAGTCGCTTTAATTGGATTTACAATATATATGAATGAATGAATGAATGTATGCTTTATTTAATGTGGATATACGCTTAGCTTATATATAATATATATATAATTTATTAGATATATATAATATATATTTTTATTGGACTACAATTGATGAGTGAAACAACATGAAGAGATGTAAAACACAGCAATGCGTGTCAATCTATTACAATGACCTCTTGCTCAAGAGTGATTGATTACTCTGGCAATGAATCACTGATGCATATCCATTGAGTTTTGTTTCTGAGCGAAGGAGACATTTGAAATAAACAGCACCAAGATTCTTCATGTGATGTTTGTATGTATAATTTCGCCAGTGGTGTCAATTTTTGCGGAGAAAATTAACAAAAAAAAATTTACTGGCAAGGAAAAATTCAATCTTATAAAATATGTCTGTCTACTTTTGGAATACCTGTCATATTCTAACTGATTACCAATCAGTTCTTCAAGGTATGCAAATCCAAAAGCCCTGTAGAAGCAATTGCCATCACCTCTAGTCTTCCTAACATGTGAGTAGTTTAAGCTTAGGTCCTAAAAAATAAAAATAAAAGTAAAGGACATTATGCATTGCATGTAAAGCCTTAACTGTACAGTACACAGCATTCAGTACCAAATAACTTGACTGAAGGATTGCTTGAAAGACAAAACTAAAAAAAGACAAGGATAATTTCCTTCCTACACTAGCACAAGTCATAACCAGTTTGCTAATCCTATTATTTTGCCAAAAGCACAGGGCTATCCTACAAACCTTTGTACCGGGAGGTTTCCGCCCCGAGGTCCAACCCCTTACCCATTTTAACAGAAAAGGTAATCCTCTCATATAACCTTTTGTTGAAAAAAAGGTATCCCTTTCACATACCTACTTAAGAACACTGCATCCCTTTTCTAAGCCCTTGGAATGAAGTTAATGAACAATACTATGGGCAAACATCAAGCATTTCCAACAGAAGTGTTACCCAAAAAACAGGTTTCATTTATTCAGCTTCTGTTCACATTATATCCAAATGAAAGATTTCTCTACCCTTTAATATGCCTCAAGTTGTGAAATCTCTACCCTTTCAGTTACCTGGAGGCCACAAAAATCTACATACCTTTATTTTGGTTTGGTATACAAAATCATCAATAGCGTATTCCTTTTGTAAACAGGTTATGTCCAGTTTCTCACTTACAAGTTGATTATTTTCTGCTATCTGGTATCAAAAGAGTAAAATGTCAAGTTACAAGTTTCTATAAGCTGAAAATAAGCAGGGCTGAAGTAAGATTGACAATTTTAACCAGGGAAATATCCTTATGCTTTGCTCTTGGATAAGGTACACTACTAGAGCTGTTCTTCTCGCAGTTTAGGCCACGTGCAGAAATGAGTAATAAAAGATTGTTAATGAAACTTGAGAAACCACTAAGGGAGGAATGAAAGTGCATCACCCAGTAGTTTTAAAATTCATGCTACAGAAACAGCTTCATGATAGAATTAAACCTGAGTGCAAAATAGTGTTTTTGAAAAGGAATAAAAAAGAATTAGAAACTGAAATGATATTCCCTTTTTCATTTTAAATTCAGACAACAATACCTCTTTCTGAATGTTGTCAACTTGAGCTATAATGGCATCATCATAGTTCCCCGCAACTGCAAACAAAAAAAAAAGGGTATGGATTTAACCTCTTAAACTCTAAATCGTTTGCATTTAACAACAGTCCACAAGGAGTTTGGCAAACCAAAATTTTATAGTCAAACAATCTATGAAGCACAAAGTAGATCGACAATAACACTCCAGGTTATGCCTAAAGGGTGGGAGGGTAGAAAGGTAAAAGAAAGCTATTAGCTGCAAGCAAAGAACAAATGAGTGACAAAACATGACAAACCACGTAATACATAATCTATAGATGATATTGTGCAACAATTAACCCCTCTCACTGAGTTGACGATGTAATCAAATGGAAAAATGAACAGCACTATCCAGAAAGTTAGCATGGTCCACAAAGGTGATAAGCTATTGCTCTATCATAGACAGTAGCAAGTGTGGTTTCACATAGAAAATGAGGCTAATAGCCACTTGACTACTATAGTCCTAGCACCCAGGAGTTTGAATGTTATTGCTATGTATATCATATTTTTTCTATTGGTTTTTCAATTAGTGTGATACCTAATCACCTTTACCAACTGAATAAAGATGATAATGATATTACCATATCGAGAGTTGACCATAAACAGGCTAACTGGAAAACAAGTTTAACTCAGGCCTACCATACCCTGCAAGACAAAGATTCCCTACTCTTTCTGGTTAGTGAGAGGTGAGAAGCTCTGCTCGCAACTGTTCAATCATTTGATCAGCCACCGTTAACAACCAGGGATAAATAAATTATAAAAACTGTCTCTCTGCGAGACTACCAACAATATCTGCTGCCTTGTGATTCACTACAAAATTGCAGGCAACACTGCACTGACATGGGTTCATCACATAGGCATCAAATTCAAACCTTTTGTCCAATGAACAACTGGCAATCTTTGATCTTTTGCTGTTTGCACAGTTCCAGAAACATGCTGCACAAACTTTTCTTTGTCAAAGGAGCATATTGGGAGAGTTGATAGTTTGTTTAGCTGCAGCAAACCTATGTTTTGCAAGGCATCCACTCTACTGCATGGTCTAGAATGAAGCCAATTTTAGTTTACTTCATCGGTTTCTTTGTCGCTCAGTTTTTTTTTTATAGAACTTTACAAAATTTCTGTAGTTTCTCTAACAAATAAGCATTGGAA